TTTCTTGGTGACTATGGTCCCAGCTGCCTTGAGATCATTGACAAGATCCTCCCGTGTAGTTCTGGGCTGATTCCTCACCGTTCTCATGATCATTGCAACCCCACGAGGTGAGATCTTGCATGGAGCCCCAGGCCGAGGGAGATTGAAAGTTATTTTGTGTTTCTTCCATTTGCGAATAATCGCACCAACTGTTGTCACCTTCTCACCAAGCTGCTTGGAGATGGTCTTGTAGCCCATTCCAGCCTTTTTTAGGTCTACAATCTTGTCCCTGACATCCTTGCAGAGCTCTTTGGTCTTGGCCATGGTGGAGAGTTTGGAATCTGATTGATTGATTGCTTCTGTGGACAGGTGTCTTTTATACAGGTAACAAGCTGAGATTAGGAGCGCTCCCTTTAAGAGTGTGCTCCTAATCTCAGCTCGTTACCTGTATAAAAGACACCTGGAAGCCAGAAATCTTTCTGATTGAGAGGGGGTCAAATACTTATTTCCCTCATTAAAATGCAAATCAATTTATAACATTTTTGACATGCGTTTTTCTGGATTTTTTTGTTGTTATTCTGTCTCTCACTGTTCAAATAAACCTACCATTAAAATTATAGACTGATCATTTCTTTGTCAGTGGGCAAACGTACAAAATCAGCTGGGGATCAAATACTTTTTTCCCTCACTGTAGATGGGTAAAATAAAAAGCAGACATTGGATATCCCTTTGAGCATGGTGAAGTTATTAATTACACTTTGGATGGGGTATCAATACACGCAGTCACTACAAAGATACAGGAGACCTTCCTAACTCAGTTGCCGGAGAGGAAGGAAACCGCTCAGGGATTTAACCACGCCAATGGTGACTTTAAAACAGTTATTTCAAATATTTCAAAACATGCATCCTGTTTGCAACAAGCCACTAAAGTAATACTGCAAAAAATGTGGCAAAGCAATACTTTTTTTTCCTGAATACAAGTGTTATGTTTGGGACAACTCTAATATAACACATTACTGAGTACGGGTTGAATGGCGACACTTACCAGGATTTAACGGCCAAAACCCCTCCCTTTTCCCGGGATAAATAATTGTGAGAAACCGGTAAATTATAATAAATTATTGATATGAACAGCATGGCGTGAAATAGAACTGTTAAATTATATGTGATGTCTAAATCTGGCTTCTCTATGTCCTCTGCATGATGAATCATTAATGAATGTCACCTATTGGGAGAGACAGACAGCCCATCTCAGTATGGAGCGCAGTTCACAATGCATGTAGACCTATCATCTCATGACAGGTAGCCTATGCTACAGTAATATAAAGACAGAATGCGCGTCTAATTTACCCATCTCCATCTGGCTTTCGGGTGTCACCTTATCTTTCAATTGTAAATATTTTTTTATTTATTGCAGCTGCAGAGTTTTAAAACAGCCTATCACTCGAATATCATTGCTGTAAATCAGTGCACATGCGAGCACTCTAGCAATCCTTCTCTCTCTCCATCAACTCCATTCAGATTGCATTCAAAATAGATAATCATGTTCTAGATTGATATATAGCCCTATACAGTGCCTTCAGAAAGTATTCAGACACATTGACTCTTTCCACATTTTGTTAGGTTACAGCCTTATTCTAAAATTGATTAAATTGTTTTTTCCCCTCATCAATCTACACACAATACCCAATAACGACAAAGCAAAAACAGGTTTATCTAAATTATTGCTAATTTAAAACAAATGCCAGGTTTACTCCAGACGCGACTCTTGGCATTCAGGCCAAAGTGTTCAATCTTGGTTTCATCAGACCTGAGAATCTTGTTTCTCATGGTCTTAGAGTCTTTAGGTGCCTTTTGGCAAACTCAAAGCAGGCTGTCATGTGGCTTTTACTGAGGAGTGGCTTTCGTCTGGTCTACCATGAATCCCTGATTGGTGGAGTGCTGCATAGATGGTTGCCCTTCTGGAAGGTTCTCCCATCTCCACAGAGGAACTCTAGAGCTCTGTCAGAGTGACCATCTTGGTGGTTCCAAACTTCTTCCATTTAAGAATGATGGAGGCCACTGTGTTCTTGGGGACCTTTAATGCTGCAGACATTTTTTGGTACCCTTCCCCAGATCTGTGCCTCAACACAGTCTTCAGACAATTCCTTCGACCTCATGGCGTGGTTTTTGCTCTGACATGCACTGTCAACTGTGGGACCTTATATAGACAGGTGTGTGCCTTTCCAAATCATGTCCAATCAATTTAATTTACCACAGGTGGACTCAAATCAAGTTGTAGAAACATCTCAAGAATGATCAATGGAAACAGGATGCACCTGAGCTCAATTTTGAGTCTCATAGCAAAGGGGCTGAATACTTATGTAAATAAGGTATTTCGGGGGGGGGGTTATTTCTAAAATCTGTTTTCGCTTTGTCATTCTGGGGTATTGTGTGTAGATTGCTGAGGATTTTTATTTATTTAATCCATTTTAGAATAAGGCTGTAACGTAACAAAATGTGGAAAAAGTCAAGGGGTCTGAGTACTTTCCGAAGGCACTTCATAGATGTCCTAGCCTACCTCTTTCATGTAATAAATTCAATGCAGTATTAGCCCTATATTCAGCTAATTAAGGATGGGTTATGCATAATAAGCTTCTAACTTATAGCCATTATTTTCTTTAGCATTTCTTATACAGTACCAATAGACTGTTCGAAGAGGGACGCAAGCTCGTTTGCTGAATGTTAAATACAGTAGCCAATAGAACTCACAAGTAGTTTGAAAGGCAAGTGAACGCGCGATAGTGGTAAGCTTTAGCAGTTAGTTATTAATTCAGACCCATAACCATTCAATCTTCGTGAAGAGAAGTGAAAGCCTTTTGCATCTAATTCTAGTCCTATATTATTCAAGGATTTATTATTCAAGGATGTCATTAGAATGTTGAAGATAAGGACAACAAAACTTATTTCATTTAACTGTTGAAAGTGAGGAAGGAATGAAGCAACAATAGAGAGAGAAAGAGGAGGTAGGCTAATAACATTAGGGGAAATATTATGAAAGGTATATTTATATATGCGTCAGCCTACTAATCATAGAAATAGGCCCCATTTATATTTCAAAATCAAATTCGCTAGCCTATACTTGGAACTTTGTAGGCCGCATGTGCTGCACCAGAATCGCATGTTCTCTCCCTGCTTTATCATGGTTTGAATTATGTGCATAATTCCAGTCATATAATCCAGTATAATACAACACACTACAGTAATACAGTCCACACTCAAATAGATTAGCCTACTGGAGCTAGTTTCATTTATTTACCCAAGAGAGCATATAGCTAGCTACATCTATGGGCTTTTATGTTTTTCTGTCATGCATAATGTGCAGTAGCCTATATCATATATGTATGTATCGGTCGTCAGTTGGACGGTGTTTCCCCCGACACATTGGTGTGGGTGGCTTCCGGGTTAAGCAAGTAGTGTGTCAAGAAGCACTGCGGCTTGGCAGGTCATGTTTCGGAGGACTCATGGCTCTTGACCTTCATCTCTCCCGAGTCCGTTAGGGAGTTGCAGCGATGAGACAAGATCGTAACTACCAATTGGATGTCACGAAATTGGGGATGAAAAGGGGGTAAAAAAAGAAATATATATATACGCTCTAATCAAATCCAGACATAGGCCCATTTATATGCTTTATAATGCTTTTGAATTACACTTCCGGTTTTGGCGGGAAATACCGCGTTACCCGGGAGAAAAGTGATGTATTCTCGGGATGGAACATTTGTAAAATACCGGGAAAATAATCAACCCTACTGAGTACCACTCTCCATAGTGGTAGGCTTGTAATCGTTAAGGTCTGGGGAGTTTTTCAGGATAAAAAAGAAACGGAATGGAACTAAGCACAGGCAAAATCCTCAAGGAAATCCTGGTTGTCTGCTTTCCACCAGACACTGGGAGATTAATTCACCTTTCAGCAGGACAATAACCTAAAAGACAAGGCAAAATCTACACTGGAGTTGCTTACCAAGAAGACAGTGAATTTTCCTGAGGACGAGTTACAGTTTTGACTTAAATCTGCTTAAAAGGGTATGGCAAGACCTGAAAATGGTTGTTTAGCAATGATCAACAACCAATTTGACAGAGCTTGAAGAATTTTGAAAAGAGTAATGGTCAAATGTTGCACAATCCAGGTGTGGAGAGCTTTGAGAGACTTACCCAGAAACACTCACAGCTGTATTCGCTGCCAAAGGTGATTCTAATATGTATTGACTCAGGGGGTTGAATACTTATCTAATCAAGTGTTTTTTCCTCCGAATTTTTCTTACACTTTGACATTCCAGAGTATTTTGTGTAGATCGTTGACAAAAAAATGGCAATTAAATCCATTTGAATCACACTTTGTTATACAACAAATGTGGAAAACTCAAGGGGTGTGAATACTTTCTGAAGGCACTGTATCTATCTATTGGCAGGAATGTCTGTTTGTCTTAAAATTAGTCTTAGGTGTGGCAGGACATATCACATATGTTGCTTTTCAAGTGTTCATGACAGCGACCAGAAACGTTATTTTGTTGGAGCCTTTTAATATGTAATCTGATTATGAAAATCACCAGGGCCCGGTTTTTCAAAAGTTCTCTGTATTTCGCCTATAGGATATGATTAAATGCACAGAAATAGAAAGAATAGAACAGACTAATCATTGGCTCAAATGGGGGCATCCGTTCTATTCATTCGATTTGTATGCATTTAATCCTATCCGATAGCCGAAATCCGGATAGATAACTTTTGAAAAACTGGGCCCAGAAGACTTTAGAAGTCTTCACAGCAGTTCAAAATGTATTGTTTCATTCTTAGTGTAGCATTTACAGTTGGAACAGACCATGGAGTTATAAGACATAGTGGACATAAACTCATGAGTCCAGAGGTTGTTCCAACTCCCAATTTTCTTTATTAGCTTTGATCAAAAACACTCAGAGCAGAGCAAGACATAGTCTGACACAACATAGTGACCTCTGACCTGCCGTGTCATACTTGATCCATACATGGAACTGAGAGAGGGCATTTGCAACTCATGTCTATCTGAAACAAGTCAGTCAGCCAACAGTCATTAAGTCAGTCAATCAAAAGTCAGTCAGTCAGTAAACAGTCAGTCAGTCAGGCACATTATGTAAGTGAACTAAGGCTTCGCTCTCAAAACATGTCATCTCTCGATAAAAACCTAAAACCTGTTTTTAAAAGCAAATCAAACTATTCAGCCCACATGGAACTGTACCAGTCAAACACACCCAGTAAGCTTCATATTTCATAAAAAAAAGTTACAAAGAATACACCAACTGCACTCCCCCTCTCTTTCCTTCCCTCTCTCCTCCTCTCCCCATTAGGTACAGTCTCTTCTGCGTGTGTGTCGGTGTCGTGGGTAGACTCTCCTCTGTGGGCCATTCTTCAGAGGGGAGGGAGGACGTGGGCCCCTCAGGCTCATTAGTCCACCCCTCGAGGGAGTAATGGGGAAGAACGGGGGAAGGGGGAGGGCCGGGGGGGATAGCGACTTCTCCTCCTCTCGTCCTCGTGATGGTGGGATGATCTCCAGTTCTCCTCTCTCCTACGGTCTTCCTCTGGGAAGTAGGGCATCCTCCAGTTGTTCTGTGGCTGAGGGGGTCTCCACTGGTAGTTGTTGAAGTGAGGGGGACGAGGCGGGAAAAGGTTTGGGTGGGAGGGCCACATGCCGTAAGGAGGCAGAGAAGGAGGGAGCAGACCGTGGCCGTGAGTCTGGTAGTTCATACCTCTCTGGTGGAGAGGCCTGGAGAGAGTGAGAGAACCTTCAAACAGACACCCAACAATACAGATATATAGAGACATAGTATATATGTATATAGGGGTTAGAGGTCAAGGGTCAGGGTCCTTACACACAGATTATATACACTGAGTGTACAAATCATTAAGGACACTTGCTCATTAAGGACACCTGACCAGGTGAATCCAGGTGAAAGCTATGACCCCTTATCGATGTCATTTGTTAAATCCACTTCAATCAGTGTAGATGAAGGGGAGAAGACAGGTTAAATAAGAATTTTTAAGCCTTGAGACAATTGAGACATGGATTGTGTATATGTGCCATTCAGAGGGTGAATGGGCAAGACAAAAGATGTAAGTGCCTTTGAACGGGTGTATGGTAGTAGGTGAACTGCAATGCTGCTGGGTTTTTCACGCTCAACAGTTTCCCGTGTCTATCAAGAATGGTCCACCACCCGAAGGATATCCAGCCAACTTGACACAACTGTGGGAAGCATTGGAGTCAACACAGGCCAGTATCCCTGTGGAACGCTTTCGACACCTTGTAGAGTCCATGCCCCGACAAATTGGCGCTGTTCTGAGGGGAAAAAGGGGGGGTGTAACACACACAAACACACTTATGATGTTCACTTAAGTTCCAAAAGTCATAAAAGTCTACTACTGGGTAGTTTGGCTCCTGGATGCTGATTCGCTGAAAGCCGAGGTATATGAGACAAAATAACACGGGTATGACGCAAAACTACTTGTTTACTGTTCTAATTACATTGGTAACCTGTTTATAATAGCAATAAGGCACCTCTGGGGTTTGTGGTATATGGCAAATATACCACGTTGCGTCGTACCTAAGAACAGCCCTAAGCCATAGTATACTGGCAATATACCACACCCCCTCGGGCCTTATTACTTAAATATATAGCTAGAGGCTTTGTATATAGGGGTTAAAGGTAGAGCTGGGACGATAGACCAAAAATATTTTGCTGATATTGTTCATTACGATAAATAACCTATAGGGCTCTATTAGAGAAATGTGAAGTTTCAAATGAAATAAGTTTGCTAATATGGGTGACTGTTAATGGGACAGTTGTTAGCTACAACATTCAAAGTAGTAGTAGAAATGTTAAGGGTAATATAAAAAAAACTGTGGTGTACATTTATGTTGTTATAAACTTGTTACATTTATCGTTATGGATTTTTGTCCATATCGGCCAGCTCTAGTTAGAGGTCAGGGTGCTTACACAGAGTGGTTGTGGTCGTAATGCCTGTCATAATGTCTGTCATGGTGGTAGGCAGGACCATCCGGAATATCTTCATGCCGACTGGCAGAGCGGCCTCTGATTGGCTCCTGCTCCGACTTCTCCATCCCATAGTTACTGCAGAAGGAGGGAGAGAGGGATGGATACAATAAAGTATTGATGGACTGAGACAACGATAGAGATATAAAGAACGACTGACCAACACACACACAGACAGACAGAGACAGATGACCTTCTCTTTGGCCCAGTCTGTAGGTCTTTCAGGTAGTTCGCTCTCTCTATGGAGTGGCCACGCGAAGAGTTAAACACTGGAATAACACAGGGAGAGAACATTACACACCCATGTGTAAGTGCACACACACAATTCTTAAAAGGAGGTTAAGTACTCACACTCTACAGCCTCTTTAGGATCCATCCCATCTACATCTATCAGGTACCTGAAGAGAAGAGAGAGTAAGAGGAAAAGAGAGAAAGAAGTGAGAGAAAGGGAGGAAGAGGAAGAGAGAGGACAACGTCAACAAAACGAAGGAGATGATCATGGACTTCAGGAAACAGCAGAGGGAGCACGCCCCTATCCACATCAACGGAACCGCAGTAGAAAAGGTGGAAAGCTTCAAGTTCCTCGGCGTACACATCACTGACAACTTTAATAATGGAACACTAGTCACTTTAATAATGTTTACATACTGCTTTACTCATCTCATGTGTATATACTGTATTCTATTCTACTGTATTTTAGTCAATGCCACTACGACATTGCTCGTCTTAATATTTATGTACAGTACCAGTCAAAAGTTTGGACACACCTACTCATTCAAGGGTTTTTCTTTATTTTTAAATAAAGAAAAACACATATGGAATAACACAATAACACATATGGAATCATGTAGTAACCAAAAAACTGTATAAACAAATTTTTTATTTGAGATTCTTCAAAGTAGCCACCCTTTGCCTTGATGACAGCTTTGCACACTCTTGGCATTGTCTCAACCAGCTTCACCTGGAATGATTTTCCAACAGTCTTGAAGGAGTTCCCACATATGCTGAGCACTTGTTGGCTGCTTCTCCTTCACTCTGCGGTCCAACTCATCCCAAACCATCTCAATTGGGTTGAAGTCAGGTGAATGTCGAGGCCAGGTCATCTGATGCAGCACTCCATCACTCTCCTTCTTGGTCAAATAGCCCTTACACAGCCTGGAGGTGTGTTGGGTCATTGTCCTGTTGAAAAACAAATTATAGTCCCATTAAGTGCAAACCAGATGGGATGGCGTATCGCTGCAGAATGCTGTGGTAGCCATGTTGGTTAAGTGTGCCTTCAATTCTAAATAAATCACAGACAGTGTCACCAGCAAAGCACCCCCACACCTCCTCCTCCATGCTTCATGCTTCATGGTGGGAACCACACATGCAGAGATCATCCGTTCACCTACTCTGCGTCTCACAAAGACAAGGCGGTTGGAACCAAAAATCTCAAATTTGGACTCATCAGACCAAAGGACAGATTTCCACCGGTCTAATGTCCATTGCGCGTGTTTCTTGGCCCAAGCATCTCTTCTTATTATTGATGTCCTTTAGTAGTGGTTTCTTTGCAGAAATTCGACCATGAAGGCCTGATTCACACGGTCCCCTCTGAACAGTTGATGTTGAGATGTGGCTGTTTCTTGAACTCTGTGAAGCATTTATTTGGGCTGCAATCTGAGGCTGGTAACTCTAATGAACTTATTCTCTGCAGCAGAGGTAACTCTGGGTCTTCCTTTCCTGTGGCGGTCCTCATGAGAGCCAGTTTCATCATAGCACTTGATGGTTTTTGCGACTGCACTTGAAGAAACGTTCAAAGTTCTTAAAATTTTCCGGTTTGACTGACCTTCATGTCTTAAAGTAATGATGGACTGTCGTTTCTCTTTGCTTAATTGAGCTGTTCTTGCCATAATATGGTCTTGGTCTTTTACCAAATAGGGCTATCTTCTGTATACCAACCCTACCTTGTCACAGCACAACTGATTGGCTCAAATGCATTAAGGAAAGAAATTCCACAAATGAACTTTTAAGAAGGCACACCTGTTAATTGAAATGCATTCTAGGTGACTACCTCATGAAGCTGTTTGAGAGAATGCCAAGAGTGTGCAAAGCTGTCATCAAGGCAAAGGGTGGTTACTTTGAAGAATCTCAAATCTAAAATATATTTTGAGTAGGTGTCTCCAGACTTTTGACTGGTACTGTATTTCTTAATTCCATTATTTTACTTTTACATTTGTGTATTGTTGTGAATTGTTAGATACTACTGAACTGTTGGAGCTTGGAACACAAGCATTTCTCTACACCCGCAATAACATCTGCTAAATATGTGTATGTGACCAATAAAATTTGATTTGAAAAGAGAGGCCGGTTTTATACTGTAAGCACATCTACCACATGTACTAGAATCTACCAGAAACTCCACAAAATCTGCTAAACACTCCTTACCTACAGACCAAGTAGCCTGTCCTGTTGAGACCATGAGTACAGTGCACTCCGATCAGCTTATCTGTGAAAGAGAAAGATAATAAAAACGTTTTTAACATAATCTTGCCTTCCTGCTGATGTGTTGATGATGAACTAATCAGTTACACTAATCACCTGTGAGGGTGGCTGTGTGTGTCACACCTTCCCAAGTTCTCCCATGTCACCCCGCTCCTCCGCACACTCCAATGGCTTCCAGTCGAAGCTTACCTCCACTACAAGACCATGGTGCTAGCCTACGGAGCAACAAGAGGAACTGCACCTCCCTACCTTCAGGCTATGCTCAAGCCTTACACCCCAACCCGAGTTCTGCCAAGTTCAAGCTTTTCTCTGTCCTGGCAGCCCAATGGTGGAACCAGCTTCCCCCTGAAGCTAGGACAGCAGAGTCCCTGCCCATCATCCGAAAACATCTGAAACCCTACCTCGTCGAAGACCATCTTAAATAATCCCTTTCATGAACTAACACTCACATTTGACTTTCTTCCCGCTTACTAGCTCTGACTTTGCTGATAGCTACTTTGAGGAAAAAATGTACTTACAATGACTGTGATATGTGGCTGTCCCACCTAGCTACAGTATTAATGCACACAAACTGTTAAGTCGCTGGATAAGAACATCTGCTAAATGACTAAAATGTAAATGACTGACCATTGTGTACGTTGTCTTGTAGGAACCTGCAGACGGCACGTTTGAAGCTAAGGATTGTGGGATCGCTGGGAACTTCATGACCTGCTGTGAAGATTTTCAGGTAGAACACAGAGTCTGGAAGGTCCTACACACACACACACACACACACACACACATCAGATCAGATACTACACTATACACAGTCAGTGTGTGTGGGGGGGAGGGGGGGGTTTGCTTGTGTGTATACCTCAGGATTGTAGTAGCGTGTTGTAAAAGTGAGGTCTATGATCAGTCCCAGTTCCTGTCCGTCTTTCTCCAGAATCTGCATCAGCTCCCACGGACCAAACACCTCAGAACGCTCCACACGACGACACAGGGACTGGAAACACACACACACACACACACACACACACACACACACACACACACACACACACACACACAGTGTTACTAACTACTAACACTCCAATACCCATTTTACACAACCCCTCAAGAACTACTGAACACACACAAACACTCTGACTTAGTTAGCCGTACCTGTTTCAGAGGGACTTTAAACGAGATGAACCGTGTCCCAGGTATCCTTTTCCCTACTGCCTGGTAGTCTTCCCATCTGTATGGGAGAGCAGGACATCAATATGACAGAGAGTCAGTCTATAGCCCTGTCCCGTTGCCAGTTGAAGTCCAGCATTAGCTAGCTACCAGTTTACAGTACATATTTACCTGTCCGGTATCCCGTTTTTCTTGTGAGGCATCTTTTTCTTGGGTTCACTCTTGTGTAACAGTTAACGTTACTTATACAGACAACATGATCTGTAAAAAAAATTGTATCAGCTACTATAGCAGCAAAACTAACTGCTACGTCAGCTAGTTAGTTATCTATCTCGGCAACCATACTCTGTTCTGTCCACGAGAGATTAGTCAGCTAGCGCGTTAGCTAGCAGCCACGTCACAGTGACAATGAGCCAGATATTTCACCGGATGTATAAATGTGAAGCATCCGCTTGGTGGTTTCACTCACTACCAAATATGGTACCAAAAGAAAGCCTAGTGGCCGGCAGTGATAGAAGATGGAAGGAGATGGATTTTGGCCGAAATTCTGCAAATATTCTGGATCTCAATACAGTGTTATGTTCCCAAAACTACAATCTGTTATGAACAGAGTGGAATAAGTTTTGTAGACTTTATCATTTGCCAAAGTTTATTTTTTTTGCTTTGTTTAAAAGGAGTGCAAAGGCGAATTTGAGTAATTGCACACGCGCACTTCCCTAACGAAAATATGCAGATGTCTGCTAGAACGGACCAATAGAATCTCGCTAGCTCGTGCTTGGCTCTGCCTACTTCCTTGCTTGTTCTGCCAACTATGACTAATTTGTTCCCGTTGGAAACGACTGGTTGTTGTCTATCTTGGTTTAGTTATAAAAATCTTTGGTTTAGTTACACAATTATTTGCCTACATAGTTCTACTTCTTCTTCTTTTTCTTTAGGATTTGGTTGGCGGATTGCATCCAACTTTTAAGTGCATATACCGCTGTCTACTGTACTGGAGTGTGAGGCCATTCAAGGCATACCTAAGTTAAATTCTTGATAAGATAATACAAATAGGAAAACAGGAAAATAAAAGTTGCCCTGCCAACTATTAACACTCTCAAAAAATAAATAACACCACCCCATTCCACTATTCAACCCTATCTAGTCCTACTCCAGACCAACGGTCAAAGAGGACAGAACACTACCACTCACACCCCCTGCAACTGTTCTGCAGTAAATCCTCGCAATCCCAAATACTTCTCTGCCGCAGCCACCACAGAACACTACAGCTGACATTCATATTCTGACTATCTCTTAAACTCTCTTAGACAATACCTTTGATGATACAGTGGTAGCAATACAAGGTTATAACATTTACAGAAAATAAAGAAATGCCAGTGGTGGAGGTGTTGCTGTTTATATTCAGAACCACATTCCTGTAAAGATTAGAGAGGATCTCATGTTAAATACTGTTGAAGTAATATGGATACAGGTTCATCTGCCTCACCTAAAGCTCATTCTTGTGGGAAGCTGCTATAGAGTCAGTATCTGGATAATGTGTGAAATGCTTGATAATGTATGTGATGTCAACAGAGAGGTATATTTTCTGGGTGATTAAAATATTGACTGGCTTTCATCAAGCTGCCCACTCAAGAAAAAGCTTCAAACTGTAACCAGTGCCTGCAACCTGGTTCAGGTTATCAGTCAACCTACCAGGGTAGTTATAAACAGCACAGGAATGAAATCATCAACGTGTATTGATCACATCTTTGCTATTGCTGCAGAAATGTGCTTGAAAGCAGTATCCAGATCCATTGGATGTAGTGATTTCTGTCCACCTGGACAAGAGGAACACCTACGTGAGAATGCTATTCATTGACTACAGCTCAGCATTCAACACCATAGTGCCCTCTAAGCTCATCACTAAGCTAAGGATCCTGGGACTAAACACCTCCCTCTGCAACTGGATCCTGGACTTCCTGACGGGCCGCCCCCAGGTGGGAAGGGTAGGTAACAACACATCTGCCACACTGATCCTCAACACGGGGGCCCCTCAGGGGTGCGTGCTCAGTCCCCTCCTGTACTCTCTGTTCACCCATGACTGCATGGCCAGGCACGACTCCAACACCATCATTAAGTTTGCCGACGACACAACAGTGGTAGGCCTGATCACCGACAACGATGAGACAGCCTATAGGGAGGAGGTCAGAGACCTGGCCGTGTGATGCCAGGATAACAACCTCTCCCTCAACGTGACCAAGACAAAGGAGATGATTGTGGACTACAGGAAAAAAAAGAGGACTGAGCACGCCCCCATTCTCATCGACGGGGCTGTAGTGGAACAGGTTGAGAGCTTCAAGTTCCTTGGTGTCCACATCACCAACGAACTATCATGGTCCAAACACACCAAGACAGTCGTGAAGAGGGCACGACAAAGCCTATTCCCCCTCAAGAGACTGAAAAGATTTGGCATGGGTCCTCAGATCCTCAAAAAATTCTACAGCTGCACCATCGAGAGCATCCTGACTGGTTGCATCACCGCCTGGTATGGCAACTGCTTGGCCTCTGACCGCAAGGCACTACAGAGGATAGTGCGTACGGCCCAGTACATCACTGGGGCCAAGCTTCCTGCCATCCAGGACCTCTATACCAGGCGGTGTCAAAATTGTCAAAGACTCCAGCCACCCTAGTCATAGACTGTTCTCTCTGCTACCGCACGGCAAGCGGTACCGGAGTGCCAAGTCTAGGTCCAAAAGACTTCTCAACAGCTTCTACCCCCAAGCCATAAGACTCCTGAACAGCTAATCATGGCTACCCGGACTATTTGCACTTCCCCCCCACCCCATCCTTTTTACGCTGCTGCTACTCTGTTAATTATTTATGCATAGTCACTTTAACTCTACCCACATGTACATATTACTTCAACTACCTCAACTAGCCGGTGCCCCCGCACATTGACTCTGCACCGGTACCCCCCTATATATAGCCTCCCTACTGTTATTTTATTTTACTTCTGCTCTTTTTTTTCTCAACACTTTTTTTGTTGTTGTTTTATTTTTACTTTTTTTGTTCAAAATAAATGCACTGTTGGTTAAGGGCTGTAAGTAAGCATTTCACTGTAATGTCTGCACCTGTTGTATTCGGCGCATGTGACCAATACAATTTGATTTGATTTGATTTGATATCTAGGAAAACCAAAGGCTGGACCTAATATAGTGTATAAGAGGTCATACAATAAGTTTTGTAGTGATTCCTATGTTGTTGATGTAAATAATATGTGTTGGTCCATGGTGTGTAATGAGGAGCAAACAGACGTTGCACTTGACACATTTATGAAATTGCTTATCCCAGTTACTAATAAGCATTCACCCATTAAGAAAATGACTGTAAAAACTGTTAAATCCCAGTGGATTGATGAGGAATTGAACAAATGTATGGTTGAGAGGGATGAGGCAAAAGGAATGGCAAATAAGTCTGGCTGCACAACCAATTTGCAAACGTACTGCAAATTGAGAAATCATGTGACTAAACTGAATGAAAAGAAGAATAAACTACACTATGAAACAAAGATAAATTACATAAAGAATGATAGCAAAAAGCTTTGGAACGCCTTCAATTAAATTCTGGGGAAAAAGGCAAACTCAGCTCCATCATTCATTGAATCAGATGGCTTATTCATTACAAAACCGACTGATATTGCCAACTACTTTAATGATTTTTTTAATTGGCAAGGTTAGCAAACTTAGGCATGACATGCCAGCAACAAACGCTGACACTACACATCCAAGTATATCAGACCAAATTATGAAAGACAAGAATTGTAATTTTGAATTCCGTAAAGTGAGTGCGGAAGAGGTGAAAAAATTACTGTTGTCTATCAACAATGACAAGCCACTGGGGTCTGACAACTTGGATGGAAAATTACTGAGGATAATAGTGGACGATATTGCCACTCCTATTTCCCATATCTTCAATTTAAGCTGTTACGTGAATTATTTAACAAACTATTTCAGTGTCTCTGTGCATCTCCCAAAATCAAGAAAGTCCCGGTCTGCATAGTCAGAGATATTTATTAATTGAGAATTCTGCCATCACAATTTCAGAGTCCATCTTTAATACTCATACGTCATACAAAAATCCCTCCTCTCTGTAGGCGGGCTGTAGTTTTCCACTTTGAAACTGACCTCCTGACCATCAGTACACACACACACACACACACACACACACACACACACACACACACACACACACACACACACACACACACACACACACACACACACACACACACACACACACAGATGCACTCTTCCAAGCCTAACAGTTTCTCTCCTCCCTAAATTCCTCAGTTATCTTGGTTTCTCAGTTGCCTGTAGACAGTTCTCCTTGTCCTTTGTTGTCTCAAACTCAAACTATCTGAATCGTCGTCATCCTCCACCAAGCCTGGTGGGTCATATTCTTCATTCCTTTGGTTGGAGTCCAGGATTGGGCCGTATCTCACCATCTGTTGGGAAACTGCATGCTCCAAGGCCTTGCTCACCAACCCTCGGACACAGGGAATAAGACAACATCCACAAAGAACAAGTATACCCATAGAAGCTATAGCTGCACCCAGAATAGTTACAACAATAGTTTTCCATTTACCAAACATGTTATCAAACCAACCAGTCATTGATGTATTCACCCCCCAGTTCTCAGCCCATTCTTTACTTAATGCAGTGAGACCTGCCAGTGCTCTAGTTACTGTACCATCTGGGGCTGTATTGTTGGGGATAAACATACAACAATGACCTCCCACCATCTTGCAAATCCGCCCTTCTCTGCTAAAAGCATTTAGTGAACCAAACTATTCTGCAGGTCATGAGTGAGGTGGCGGATAGTTGGCCTGAGATTCTCTTCACTACATCCCTTGTCTAATTAACTAACCTTTGTAGATGTAATTAATCCAGTCAACATTTTAATCAAGTGTAACCCACCAGAAAAACGTTGTTGTAAACCCTTCTCCAATTTGATCTGTGATTCGCATTACTTTGGTGTCTATAACATTGATAATCTCCGGGGTTCATGGTGAATTGGGGTGCCTTAGTATTATCCTTTTTAAGAGTGGTAATTTTAATATCAGAACAATTAGGTGAGGTTTGGTCCCAAATCTATCACACAAGAGAACATGGTCTGAGGCATAGGTGCAGTTACAAGGGTTGGCCTACCTGTTGAACAGGCATAACAATTAGTTTGACCCAACGCCCTAGCTGTGTAGTTCATCCACTTTACCCAGAAGTTCTCATTTGAAATTCCTTCTACTTCTCCTTGGTTCATTTCCTGCAAGAGGAAATATTCTACCCTTGGTGGTTTAGTGCTATTTAGGATTCCTTCTGAGGGCCTTCCAAGGGGTATTAGATTATTTGTTGATACCTCTGGTGATAACATTGGATCTACCTGCTGATCTGTCTCGGAGGTGGAAGATTCATGTCTCTCCTGAAAAATTAACCTCAAACATATATCTGCCCCGAAATCATCAACACAGACCCAATAGTTCCTTGCTATGTCATCTTGCATAATTCACTTTACCGTTATCACCAGTTCCGTTTTACATTTATCTTGGGTTTGTTTAATTCCCCATCAGTGTACTGCGTCCATTCCATTCTCATAGTATGTTCCCCAGGACATGAGCATTCCCCAGTGCAAATGTATTTACCATACCCTCTAGGACCTAACTTTCTTGTACACGCCACCTTCTTACCAAAGCCCCCAAAACCTCCTATCTCTTCATGGGAGAAGTCAAATGGTATCTTGAATCCCCCATCTTGTCCTAAACTGACTTTAACTATTAAAATAATAATTCCCCCAATAGTCTTTCTTAGTTTCAGTATTTCTACGAGATCGAATCAGTGCATCATTTCCCTGTTTAGGTTGACCTGGATTAATCCATAATATGGTTAACATGATGATGCAACATGAGTCCCCCAAAATCCCCAAAACCGCCATCCCAATCCTGTCCCTGACCCACCTGCCTGGTACTTTCCCATACCCACACCTCTATAAACACCCCACAGTGATGAAAGGGGTAGGGTTTCTTCGTTAACAGAGTTTACCCCCGAACCCTAGTGGATCAGTTCTTCTCTTTAACTCTGTGTGTGTTCAACAGTGTTGGTATGTGGGCCTACCTTTTTGCAGTGGGTAACGTGGACCCAAGTGGCTCTCTCAGCTATTCTTGTGACTGCTTTCAATCCTTTTTCTTCAACGATTGGATCCACACCCAGTCTCCAGGTTATATACTATGAATCATCTTCTCCTTTAATTCTCCTGTAAGACACAAATTCTTAGACATACGGTTAACGAACAATTTTCTCATGTGTTCTGCTAGTGTATTCTCTAGTTCCATGTCTGCCTGTTCTGGTCCTGCCAACTGTGGCATTCTGTAAGGTCTTCCAAACACTTTCTCAAAGGGGGATAACCCATCTTTATCTGGGGTTACTCTAAATTTCTTCCCTTCACTCCGTGATAACTCTATAAAATCAATTTCCAATTGCTGGAAGGGGTACTTAGCCGGAGGATACTCACCCTGAGGTGCCCTTTGTCTGCCCTGGTGATTATTTTGAGCACAGATAACACATCTTGAACAATTATTATTATTATTATTATTATTATTATTTTATTATTTTATAATTAGTAATCCCATATGCAACAAAGTGTTGTCTAATCTGCTCTACCATCCATCCCTCCCGTTGACACATGGCTCTGCCCGTGTGTCAATATTGCAGCATATCTAAACAGTAATTTCGGGAGAATTGGTAAGCTGTCTTTGACCCATATTCATTCCTTATTTACTGCGCCTTGCTTCACCCATCTGTGAACTTCCTTAATTGGGGCCCTACAGTAGCTCTCTATAAGTAGATCTCTGTCTATCGAAACTTCCTCTTTTGATAGCTGACTAGAACCAGAGAAGTGTTTCGACCCAGCCTTCTTAGCTTCCTCATCTGCCTTTGTATTCCCCAAAGTAACGTGATCCTTCCCTGTAGTATACTAAACATTACCATCATTCTAAATATTTCATAAATGTTACTTATCCCAAGTGTTCATTAATTTCTCATGACATTTATTCTCATAAGAAATCATATATACCCTAAACTCAGTCAAAACAGAAAAACTCCATAAAATTCAATGTGTGTGCTCCTTTAAGACTTATCACCTTCGACCTGTTGAAACCCCCCTAAAATTGAAATAACAACCCTTTATAAACATCATACTAGGTGTGTGTTTTTTATTTGAAAAACCCAATTGAAAAACAACAACCAAAAATAGCCAGGCCCCACTTAATTTGGTAGCTCACTTTTACGACATAAATACTGCCTAACTCCACTAAACTGCTCCCCCTATCCCTGGGCAACATTCCAATGAGATAAGCGAATCTCTTTCTCCAGGAAGATAAATTATTCATTATGTTAACCTTCAATTACCATCAGTAATCTAAAGATGGTAAGTACACACAAAACATGATACAGATATCCCCAGTCCTAACTCATCAATAATCATTTGTATCAAAACCACTCAAAATTCCTCGAGTATACAATGATTATGTTTAATTGATTACCCTTCAGATCATATCCTCTTTAAATCTCACAATCATTATTGAACCCCTAAATCTGCTCCATGTAATCTCATCTCAAATGAGCCATTATCAATTATTTGATCAACACCATAGGAAAATCTGTCTCCCCTTCTATTTTTCCTGTCGCCCCTGTAAATGTCATATTTCATTCATTAGCCAATACAATCACATACTCTGTGTAAGTAAGACATTATATTTTATCCCAGGCATCCCCTTAACATAATGCTATAGGAGACTTCCATCAATCTTGGAAGACATTATACAATACCACGTTTCATTAAGTTCACTACACCTTCTAATATAAACCTATAACCCCTTTCTATTAATTTAATAATCGCAACCTGCCCTAATCATCTTCCTTCTTATGAAATCTTGTCATTAGTCCTTGTAACCACAACCCATGACTACTTAATAACATATTTTCATAGACCTTTCTAGAATACTCATCTACTTAAGCTATCAACCTTTCACATTTCCCAATCCACCTAGTAATCTAGGTCCATAGCTCCAATGTGAAAGCTTTACCCACTGTCCCTACCTGGGTTCGAACCAGGGACCCTCTACATACATTACCAGTCACTCCACAAAATCCGCGATCCTTTCAAAGCAACTACTTCCAGTTCATAGAGCAAGTGACGTCACCAAATGAAAACCGCACTAGCTCTCACCTCATTCAGCAACACAAAAACTATCTCTCCCCGCACCTATTCCTGTTGAATAAGTGAGTCTTTCTATTTAACCCAAACCATGCTACAAATCTTCCATTCAACATCACCAAACCAAATACTCAGTAGTATCCGGTTACCACCCGTACCAGCCGTTGAATTCCACTCATACATAAAGATTTCACCTTATGCCATTGAAATGCCCAATAAACCATAATAGTTCAATGGAACCCTATATTGGCTTTCTACTATATTATACATTACTTCTATAACCACATTATTTTAAACTTTTAGTCAAAACAAACAAAACATCTGTTCCCAGAGCTGCAACTTAAACTACTCTGTTATACTAACCGCTATGTGTTGCTAGGACAATCTCTTTTCTCACCCATGACGTATATCTATGTTTGGGTGAGCAAGTCAATATATAATTATTCTCTAGCCTCTCATTCAACACAAATCCCCATCTTCAAATATACTCCCAGCAGAACTGAAAAACAAACAAAACAGACTGTGATTTCCAGGACACTGCCCCTTTGTTTCTGGCCTCCAAAATATTTTTAATGGTCCTACTTATCTCTGGTCCCGTTCCACTGAGGAACACTATATTTTTAATTGCAGATGGTAGGGCGTATCATTCCCCTGTCTCTGGTCTGGCTCGGGTATGCCACTGTTTAGAGAAGTCTGCATGACGATGGTAATGTTCTCTGAGGCTATTACACAATTCAGTTATTTCCCCAACATACTCTCCGTGATCGGCCCATGGCAAAAGCGCCCTCTGGGCATCCCCTGAAACCCACTGCCCTCTAACGGCAGCCCAATCCTTACTATTCCTGTTTTGGGGTACGTCATTCCTTCTACCGCTATGGCCACGTTTCTCTGTGTTCGTGGCCTGTATACATCTAAAGTTGCTGGGGCCCCTTTCATTCCCGCCAATAGATTAGGTAAGGCTATCAGTGGGTACTAGCCCCCTCCTACTCTCTCATCTCCTGACTCATACTGACTCCCTCCTGAGCTTAGCTCTGAATCCTTCTGTCCCTCTCTTTTCTATTTCTTTAGATCATTACCACAATTTACATGCATTTGTTTAATCATGGATTCCAGTTTAATTACATCAAGTCGCCCAGTAAAGCCATTTTTTTTCTCCAATTAGGTAAATAATACACATTTCGTTTGTCTCTAATTTCCATGTATTTACATTTACATTTTACATTTTAGTCATTTAGCAGACGCTCTTATCCAGAGCGACTTACAGGAGCAATTAGGGTTAAGTGCCTTGCTCAAGGGCACATTAACGTCATTTAGCAGACGCTCTTAGCCAGAGCGACTCACAAATTGGTGCGTTCACCCTATAGCCAGTGGGATAACCACTTTACAATTGGGGGGGGGGGGGGGGGGGGGGGGGTAGAAGGATTCCTTTATCCTATCCCAGGTATTCCTTAAAGAGGTGGGGTTTCAAATGTCTCCGGAAGGTGGTGAGTGACTCCGCTGTCCTGGCGTCGTGAGGGAGCTTGTTCCACCATTGGGGTGCCAGAGCAGCGAACAGTTTTGACTGGGCTGAGCGGGAACTATGCTTCCGCAGAGGAAGGGGAGCCAGCAGGCCAGAGGTGGATGAGCGCAATGCCCTCGTTTGGGTGTAGGGACTGATCAGAGCCTGAAGGTACAGAGGTGCCGTTCCCCTCACTGCTCCATAGGCAAGCACCATGGTCTTGTAGCAGATGCGAGCTTCAACTGGAAGCCAGTGGAGTGTGCGGAGGAGGGGGGGTGACGTGAGAGAACTTGGGAAGGTTGAACACCAGACGGGCTGCGGCATTCTGGATGAGTTGTAGGGGTTTAATGGCACAGGCAGGGAGGCCAGCCAACAGCGAGTTGCAGTAGTCCAGACGGGAGATGACAAGTGCCTGGATTAGGACCTGTGCCGCTTCCTGTGTAAGGCAGGGTTGTACTCTCCGAATGTTGTAGAGCATGAACCTGCAGGAGCGGGTCACCGCCTTGATGTTGGCGGAGAACGACAGGGTGTTGTCCAGGGTCACGCCTAGGCTCTTCGCACTCTGGGAGGAGGACACAGCGGAGTTGTCAACCGTGATGGCGAGATCATGGAACGGGCAGTCCTTCCCCGGGAGGAAGAGCAGCTCCGTCTTGCCAGGGTTCAGCTTGAGGTGGTGATCCGTCATCCATACTGATATGTCTGCCAGACATGCAGAGATGCGATTCGCCACCTGGTTATCAGAAGGGGGAAAGGAGAAGATTAGTTGTGTATCGTCAGCGTAGCAATGATAGGAGAGACCATGTGAGGATATGACAGAGCCAAGTGACTTGGTGTATAGGGAGAAAAGGAGAGGGCCTAGAACTGAGCCTTGGGGGACACCAGTGGTGAGAGCACATGGTGCGGAGACAGCTTCTCGCCACGCCACTTGGTAGGAGCGACCGGTCAGGTAGGACGCAATCCAGGAGTGAGCCGCGCCGGAGATGCCCAGCTCGGAGAGGGTGGAGAGGAGGATCTGATGGTTCACAGTATCAAAGGCAGCAGACAGGTCTAGAAGGACAAGAGCAGAGGAGAGAGAGTTAGCTTTAGCAGTGCGGAGAGTCTCCGTGACACAGAGAAGAGCAGTCTCAGTTGAATGACCAGTCCTGAAACCTGATTGGTTTGGATCAAGAAGGTCATTCTGAGAGAGATAGCAAGAGAGTTGGCTAAAGACGGCACGCTCAATAGTTTTGGAAAGAAAAGAAAGAAGGGATACTGGTCTGTAGTTGTTGACATCAGTGGGGTCGAGTGTTGGTTTTTTGAGAAGGGGAGCAACTCTCGCTCTCTTGAAGACGGAAGGGACATGGCCAGCGGTCAAGGATGAGTTGATCAGCGAGGTGAGGTAGGGGAGAAGGTCACCGGAGATGGTCTGGAGAAGGGAGGAGGGGATGGGGTCAAGCGGGCAGGTTGTTGGGCGGCCTGCAGTCACAAGTCGCAGGATTTTATCTGGAGAGAGAGGGGAGAAAGAAGTCAAAGCATAGGGTAGGGCAGTGTGAGCAGGACCAGCAGTGTCATTAGACTTAACAAACGAGGATCGGATGTCGTCAACCTTCTTTTCAAAGTGGTTGACGAAGTCATCCACAGAGAGACAGGAGGGGGGGGGGGGGGGGGATTCAGGAGGGAGGAAAATGTGGCAAAGAGCTTCCTAGGGTTAGAGGCAAATGCTTGGAATTTAGAGTGGTAGAAGGTGGCCTTAGCAGCAGAAACAGATGAAGAAAATGTAGAGAGGAGGGAGTGAAAAGATGCCAGGTCGGCAGGGAGTTTAGTTTTCTTCCATTTCCGCTCCGCTGCCCGGAGCTCTGTTCTGTGAGCTCGCAGTGAGTCATCAAGCCACGGAGCTGGAGGGGAGGACCGAGCCGGCCGGGAGGATAGGGGACACAGAGAGTCAAAGGATGCAGAAAGGGAGGAGAGGAGGGTTGAGGAGGCAGAATCAGGAGATTGGAGGGAGAAGGATTGAGCAGAGGGAAGAGATGATAGGATGGAAGAGGAGAGAGTAGTGGGAGAGAGAGAGCGAAGGTTGCGGCGGCGCATTACCATCTGTGTAGGGGCAGAGTGAGTAGTGTGGGAGGAGAGCGAGAGAGAAAAGGAAACAAAGTAGTGGTCGGAGACATGGAGGGGAGTTGCAGTGAGATTAGTAGAGGAGCAGCATCTAGTGAAGATGAGGTCAAGCGTATTGCCTGCCTTGTGAGTAGGGGGGGGACGGTGAGAGGGTGAGGTCAAAAGAGGAGAGGAGTGGAAAGAAGGAGGCAGAGAGAAATGAGTCAAATGTGGACATAGGGAGGTTGAAATCCCCCAAAACTGTGAGGGGTGAGCCATCCTCAGGAAAGGAACTTATCAAGGCGTCAAGCTCATTGATGAACTCTCCAAGGGAACCTGGAGGGCGATAGATGACAAGGATATTAAGCTTAAATGGGCTAGTGACTGTGACAGCATGGAATTCAAATGAGGAGATAGACAGATGGGTTAGGGGAAAAATTGAGAATGTCCACTTGGGAGAGATGAGGATTCCTGTACCACCACCCCTCTGACCAGATGCTCTCGGGGTATGCGAGAACACATGGTCAGACGAGGAGAGAGCAGTAGGAGTAGCAGTGTTTTCAGTGGTGATCCATGTTTCCGTCAGCGCCAGGAAGTCGAGGGACTGGAGGTTGGCATAGGCTGGGATGAAGTTAGCTTTGTTGGCAGCAGAACGGCAGTTCCAGAGGCTGCCTGCGACCTGGAACTCCAGGTGAGGGGTGCGTGCAGGGACCACCAGGTTAGAGAGGCAGCAGCCGCGCGGTGTGGTGCGTTTGTGTAGCCTGTGCAGAGAGGAGAGAACAGGGATAGGCAGAGGCATAGTTGACAGGCTGTAGCAAATGGCTACAAAAATGCAGAGGAGATCGGAATGAAATGAGCTAAGCATCTGGGAGAGGAGAGAGCAGGGCCTCCCTCACCAAAAACTTCTACCTCAGAAACTAAAATTGTTTCACTGAACCACCCGAACAAAAACTCTCCCAACTTCCACCTTTAGAAATCAGAATTGTTGTGAACCACAGCGGTTCAATGTTTAAAGGAATAGACTCAACCCACTTTATTCAGCTAGCTAACTATGACACCATAGCTAACTAGCATGCTAGCATCCAATAACACACAGTTTAACACACAGTTTAGCACCAACACTTGGTCACAACAAACCACCAATAGTGTGTTAACTAGCTAACTAGCATGCTAGCATCCAGTAACACACAGTTTAGCACAAACACTTGGTCACAACAAACCACCAATAGTGTGATAACACACTAAACAGATCATTCGTGTCTGTGTCAAGTTCCTTTCATGACGCAGCAATGATTAAACGTTGGCTAGCTAGGACAAGTATATTGTATTTAGCTACTACAGTACAGTTAGCTGGACGTGATGGGTAGCTAGCAATGGCCACTGTGTTGACTTTGTTTGAAGAACGGCTAGCTAGCTAGCTTCGTGCTACACCCGGCACACAATGGCTACTGTGTTGACTCTGACTGTTCGAAAAAAACGGCTAGTTAGCTCGCTTCGTGCTACAGCCGGCACGGCCGAAGACACTGCCAAGACACACCAATAGTATGATAACACACTAAACAGATCATTCGTGTCTGTGTCAAGTTCCTTTCATGACGCAGCAATGATTCAACGTTGGCTAGCTAGGACAAGTATATTGTATTTAGCTACTACAGTACAGTTAGCTGGTCGTGTTGGGTAGCTAGCAATGGCCACTGTGTTGACTTTGTTTGAAGAACGGCTAGCTAGCTAGCTTCGTGCTACACCCGGCACACAATGGCTACTGTGTTGACTCTGACTCTGTTCGAAAAACGGCTAGTTAGCTCGCTTCGTGCTACAGCCGGCACGGCCGAAGACACTGCCAACCTGCAGTAACTACCCACAACAACCCACGATACCTAGCTATGACGCCGTAGCTAACTAGCAAGCTAGCATCCATTAACACACAATTTAGCACCAATACTTGGTTACAACAAACTGCCAAGAGTGTGTTAGCACACTAAACAGATAATTCATGTCCGTGTCTAGTTCCTTTCATAACGCATAACGCAGCAAAAATTAAACGTTGGGTAGCAGCACATTAACATTGGAAACAGCTCTCCACCGTTGCTAATCGTTACCAGTAGCTACCCGCTAGCTAGCTAGCCTCGTGCTTCGATACTAACCTACAATTACCTACGGAAACCTACAATAACAACAATACTAACCTATAATAAATACAATACCTAACTACAACTAACTACCTACCTACGATCTAATACATGGTTAAGCTTTACTCAACACCATATGAGAAGCTTACCTCCTGCTTACCTCCAGTAAAACCTCCAGTAAATTCTGGGACCTCTTGTGAGGATTTGCCTCCCATGGTTGGTACTGTTAAAAATCCCTTAGCCACCTCTTCTATATAACAAGTTATTCTAAGCAGTTTCACACAACAATTGGAATCACCCCTTCCTGTATAGGTACTAGTCCCCCAGAATTATCTCCTACTCTACGGAGGAATTCATCCCCACAATGTAATCTTGATAATTCCTGACAGCCCCATAAAACAGGAATGGGTTCTCCCTCTTTTCTATACAACCACCTGGAACCACCCCTTCCTGTATATGTAGTCTTGACTAGTCCCCCAGAATTATCTCATACTCTACGGAGGAATTTATCCCCACAATGTAATCTTGATAATTCCTGACAGTCTCATACAACAGGAATGGGTTCTCCCTCTTCTCTATACAACCACCTGGAATTATTCATAGATGTGACTTTTGAGCAAATATTAGGTCTCATACGTATACAACCTTACATGATTATTGGTTAACACTATCGGTAACCCGGAGTTTGTAAGGCTCCAGTTTCATGAAACGGATAGAGTTACGGCAAAATCTACAGTTGTTTGTGACTTTTGACTTTACTAATATTATATTTCTCACACATGCTATTTTAATTCCTTCTGGTGTACTTTTTGTATTTGTTTAACCCCGATTATTTGTTGACTGTTCTATAATCTCTTACAGGTTACATCCCTTGGGTGTACTTTTAATAGTTCCTTCTATTTCAACACCGGGTAGTTTCTTTTGGTAATGGCCTATTACCGTGAATCGTTACGGACCCACCAACATTTCACTTAAAATGGCTACGCATTGATCAATTTGCTACTTTAAATTATGACGTTACCCTCAGTCAATATTTTAGCAAGTTCTCAAATCAATTTCACCAAGTAATGAATAAAGACTACTGACCTTATCCTTGCAGCAGAGATTCAATGTAGGTTTGGATTCCGTCACCGTCTCTGTCATTAATCAGGTGTCCTCTGGCCTGTCTTAACCCTTAATGTCAAAGGGCAGGACTTATTTACGAATGTATCATTCGCCCGTCGACGGTTTGCAGAGTTACCTGGAATGACAGAGGCAGGTATTGGATCCGGCTTGAAGGACCAAGCTGTTACGTGAATTATTTAACAAACTATTTCAGTGTCTCTGTGCGTCTCCCAAAATCAAGAAACGGACAGAGTCCCGGTCTGCATAGTCAGAGATATTTATTCATTGAGAATTCTGCCATCACAATTTCAGAGTCCATCTTTTATACTCATACGTCATACAAAAATTCCTCCTCTCTGTAGGCGGGCTGTAGTTTTCCACTTTAAAATTGCTCTACTGACCATCAGTACACACACACACACACACACACACACACACACACACACACACACACACACACACACACGCACTCTTCCAAGCCTAACAGTTTCTCTCCTCCCTAAATGCCTCAGTTATCTTGTTTTCTCAGTTGCCTACAGACAGTTCTCCTTGTCCTTTGTTGTCTGGTCTAACTCTTACTCACATTGCTAAATAGTAGCTCAATGTCATAGTCTTTACTGGTCCTACACTCACACATTACCAGGTAGTAGATTCTAACACATCTCACACAGTTTCGGAGTATAATAATTAGTCCCTACTAAGAAAGTACTAATCATACTTAAAACAAGAACATTTCACAACTATATTTAAGGGTGGAACATTTAGTCATTATTTTTTAACCTGTATATATTTTAATTTCTATATCAGCCTACTAGTCATTCAGCTACCTAAGAATAGTAAAGCCCCCTTTACAGGCTCAAATAGCCGACCAATCAGCCTGTTACCAACCCTTAATAAAGTTTTGGAAAAAATTGTGTTTGACCAGATACAATGCTATTTTACAGTAGAAAAATTTGACAACAGACTTTCAGCACACTAATAGGGAAGGACATTCAACAAGCACAGCACTTACACAAAATATTGTGGGGGCTGTTTTGTTAGACTTATGTGTGGCTTTTGACATTATCGATCATAGTCTGCTGCTGGAAAAGTGTATGTGTTATGGCTTTACACCCCCTGCTATATTGTGGATAAAGAGTTACCTGTCTAACAGAACACAGAGGGTGTTCTTTAATGGAAGCCTCTCCAACATAATCAAGGTAGATTCAGGAATTCCCCAAGGCAGCTGTCTAGGTCCCTTACTTCTTTCAATCTTTACTAACGACATGCCACTGGCTTTGAGTAAAGCTAGTGTGTCTATGTATGCAGATGACTCAACACTATACACGTCAGCTACTACAGTGACTGAAATGACACTTAACAAAGAGGTGCAGTTAGTTTCAAAATGGGTGGCAAGGAATAAGTTGGTCCTAAAAATTTCAAAAACTAAAAGCATTGTATTTGGGATAAATACTTCACTAAACCCTAAACCTCAACTAAATATTGTAATAAATGATGTGGAAATTGAGCAAGTTGAGGTGACTAAACTTCTTGGAGTAACCCTGGATTGTAAACTGTCATGGTCAAAACATATTGATACAACAGTAGCTAAGATGGGGAGAAGTCTGTCCATAATAAAGCGCTGCTCTACCTTCTTAACAGCACTATCAACAAGGCAGGTCCTACAGGCTCTAGTTTTGTCGCACCTGGACTACTGTTCAGTCGTGTGGTCAGGTGCCACAAAGAGGGACTTAGGAAAATTGCAATTGGCTAAGAACAGGGCAGCACGACTGGCTCTTGGATGTACACAGAGAGCAAACATGAATAATATGCATGTCAATCTCTCCTGGCTCAAAGTGGAGGAGAGATTGACTTAATCACTACTCGTATTTGTGAGAGGTATTGACATGTTGAAAGCACCACGCTGTCTGTTTAAACGACTAGCACACAGCTCAGACACCCATGCATACCCCACAAGACATCCCACCAGAGGTCTCTTCACAGTCCCCAAGTCCAGAACAGACTATGGGAGGCGCACAGTATTACATAGAGCCATGACTACATGAAACTCTATTCCACATCAGGTAACTGATGCAAGCAGTAGAATCAGATTTAAAAACCAGATAAAAATACACCTTATGGAACAGCGGGGACTGTGAAGCAACACAAACATAGGCACAGACACATGTATACACACACACGATAACATACGCACTATAAACACACGTACACATGGATTTTGTGTTGTAGATATGTGGTAGTGGAGTAGGGGCCTGAGGGCACACACTTAGTGTGTTGTGAAATCTGTTATGAATGTATTGTAATGTTTTTTAAATTGTATAACTGCCTTAATTTTGCCAGACCCCAGGAAGAGTAACTGCTGCCTTGGCATCAGCTAATGGGGATCCAAAATAAATACAAATACAAATACCACAATCTCTATTTTCGGTAACTTCCGATCCATTTCTGCAGTACAATTGACAACCATGGCTATGAATTCTAAAACGTCCACCTTACTGAAGCACATATTCTTCCCATCACTCTCTCTTGGTCTCTGCCTTTCCACAGGAATCCTCTCAGTATCCCTCACCTAGTACCTACAGTGGGGAGAACAAGTATTTGATACACTGCCGATTTTGCAGGTTTTCCTACTTACAAAGCATGTAGAGGTCTGTCATTTTTATCATATGTACACTTCAACTGTGAGAGACGGAATCTGAAACAAAAATCCAGAAAATCACATTGTATGATTTTTAAGTAATTAATTTGCATTTTATTGCATGACATAAGTATTTGATACATCAGAAAAGCAGAACTTAATATTTGGTACCGAAACCTTTGTTTGCAATTACAGAGATCATACGTTTCCTGTAGATCTTGACCAGGTTTGCACACACTGTAGCAGGGATTTTGGCCCACTCCTCCATACAGACCTTCTCCAGATCCTTCAGGTTTCAGGGCTGTCACTGGGCAATACGGACTTTCAGCTCCCTCCAAAGATTTTCTATTGGGTTCAGGTCTGGAGACTGGCTAGGCCACTCCAGGACCTTGAGATGCTTCTTACGGAGCCACTCCTTAGTTGCCCTGGCTGTGTGTTTTGGGTCGTTGTCATGCTGGAAGACCCAGCCACGACCCATCTTCAATGCTCTTACTGAGGGAAGGAGGTTGTTGGCCAAGATCTCACGATACATGGCCCCATCCATCCTCCCCTCAATACGGTGTCCCCTTTGCAGAAAAGCATCCCCAAAGAATGTTGTTTCCACCTCCATGCTTCACGATTGGGATGGTGTTCTTGGGGTTGTACTCATCCTTCTTCTTCCTCCAAACACGGCGAGTGGAGTTTAGACCAAAAAGCTCTATTTTTGTCTCATCAGACCACATGACCTTCTCCCATACCTCCTCTGGATCATCCAGATGGTCATTGGCAAACTTCAGACGGGCCTGGACATGCACTGGCTTGAACAGGGTGACCTTGCGTGCGCTGCAGGATTTTAATCCATGACAGCGTAGTGTGTTACTAATGATTTTCTTTGAGACTGTGGTCCCAGCTCTCTTCAGGTCATTGACCAGGTCCTGCCATGTAGTTCTGGGCTGATCCCTCACCTTCCTCATGATCATTGATGCCCCACGAGGTGAGATCTTGCATGGAGCCCCAGACCGAGGGTGATTGACCGTCATCTTGAACTTCTTCCATTTTCTAATAATTGCGCCAACAGTTGTTGCCTTCTCACCAAGCTGCTTGCCTATTGTCCTGTAGCCCATCCCAGCCTTGTGCAGGTCTACAATTTTATCCCTGATGTCCTTACACAGCTCTCTGATCTTGGCCATTGTGGAGAGGTTGGAGTCTGTTTGATTGAGTGTGTGGACAGGTGTCTTTTATACAGGTAACGAGTTCAAACAGGTGCAGTTAATATAGGTAATGAGTGGAGAACAGGAGGGCTTCTTAAAGAAAAACTAACAGGTCTGTGAGAGCCGGAATTCTTACTGGTTGGTAGGTGATCAAATACTTATGTCATGCAATAAAAAGCAAATTAATTACTTAAAAATCATACAATGTGATTTTCTGGATTTATGTTTTAGATTCCGTCTCTCACAGTTGAAGTGTACCTATGATAAAAATTACAGACCTCTACATGCTTTGTAAGTAGGAAAACCTGCAAAATCGGCAGTGTATCAAATACTTGTTCTCCCCACTGTATCTTCCTCTACCACTCTCTTCACTGCTTCAGCACACAACACTTTCTGTTCTACTTTAACCCTGGCAACCTCAACCTGCCTTTCTCTCACCAGACACTTCCGATCTCCAACCCCATGGGCACACCCACAGCTAACACACAATTTTCTCCACCGATACTAGACATTCCTTCGTCTCATGCCCTCATGCTGTCACGGTTTCGGCCGAGGCTGCTCCTTCTCCCTGTTCGGGCAGGCTTCGGCGGTCGTCGTCCCCGGAGTACTAGCTGCCACCGTTCGTTGTGTCTGTGTGTGTTTGGTTTGGTCTGATTTGTTACACCTGTTGCTCATTTCGTCTTGATTATGTGTCCTTTAAGTTCTCGTTGTTTCTGTCTTGTGGTTGTGTGTAGTTGTTCTATGTCAGCAGGTGTTGCCAGTCAGTTTGTGCTCTATGTTTAGAGAGTCCGCACGTTGTGCGTTTGTTTGTACCTTTACGCTGAGTGCGTTTATTTTTTCCTTGTTCAACCGGCTCTGTTTATAGCCGTTGTTTCTGTGGACTTTATTAAAGTGTTTTTGGACTTGCATCTGCATCCTGCAATTGATTCCACACCACACCTACGCCCGGCCTTGACAGAACTACACACCATTCATGGAATCAGCAGGAGCAGCAGCAGCGACCGAGTCATGGGAGGAGCGCGTCCGCGGACAGGATGACAGGATAGCCCAGATCACCAACGCATTACAAGGAGTAATGAATACCCTGCATCGCCTGGAGTCCAGTTGGGCACCCACGCCTCCTCCCACAGTACCACCAGCACCGGTCAGTCCCTTAGTCCACGCTCCGGAACCCAGTGGGATTCGGCTCTCGCTCCCGAGGGCGTATGATGGTACCGCTGCCGGGTGTCAAGGTTTCCTCCTACAAGTAGAACTCTACCTCGCCACCGTACACCCGGTGCCCTCGGGACACGAGAGCGTTTCCGCCCTCATCTCCTGTCTCACCAGCAAGGCGTTGGAGTGGGCCAACGCCGAATGGAGGAGAATAGACCCCGCGACGATCACCTATGCGGAGTTCTCCCGTCGCTTCAGGGCTGTATTCGACCATCCACCTGAGGGGAAGGCGGCGGGAGAACGTCTATTCTACCTCCGACAGGGGAAGAGGAGCGCACAGGATTTTGCACTGGAGTTCCGGACTCTAGCGGCAGACGCAGGGTGGAATGAGCGGGCCCTCATAGACCACTTCCGCTGCAGCCTACGGGAGGACGTCCGTCGTGAGTTGGCCTGCAGGGACACCACCCTCACGTTTGACCAGTTAGTTGACATGGCCATTCGCCTCGACACCCTGTTGGCCACCCGCGGACGTCCTGAGTGGGGGTCGTCCATTCCACCCTCCAGCACCTCAGAGCCTAGTCCTATGGAGCTCGGGGGTGCTGGCGCTAGAGAGGAGAGGAGAAGGAGCCCCAGGGGAACCAACCCCTGTACCTACTGTGGCCGTGGAGGACACACTGCGGCCAGGTGCTGGGGGGGGTCTCCTAGGGGGAGAGACGGCAGGCCACGCTCTGGGGAGTCCCTCCAGGTGAGTAGGCGTCCCACTTACCCAGAGCTCTCTGTTGATCACCTAACCATACCTGTTTGCTTCCCACAGGTTGCACCTCATTCCCAGCATAAGGCGCTAGTAGATTCAGGCGCAGCTGGGAATTTTATAGATCGGCGATTTTGTGCTGAGTTAGGGATTCCCCTCCTTCCAGTCAGTAGTCCCTTCCCTGTACATGCTTTAGATAGCCGTCCGTTGGGATCGGGGTTGATTAGGGAGGTCACAGCTCCACTTAGGATGGGGACGCAGGAGGGTCATGAGGAGACTATTCAGCTATATCTTATAGACTCTCCTGCGTATCCGGTGGAGCTGGGGCTTCCCTGGTTGATTACTCATAATCCCTCTATTTCGTGGCAACAGAGGGCTCTCAAGGAGTGGTCTGTCCAGTGTGTAGGGCGATGTCTGGGCGTTTCCGTAGGGGCGACCTCGGTGGAAAGTCCAAACCAACTGCCGGCATTGCACATTCCCCCCGAGTAGGATGATTTAGCAATTGTGTTTAGTAAAGCGAAGGCGACGCAATTGCCACCACATAGACAGGGGGATTGTGCGATAGACCTCCAGGTAGGAGCTGCGCTTCCGCGGAGCCATGTGTATCCTCTGTCTCAAGAGGAGAAGAGAGCTATGGAGACTTACATAGCCGAGTCTCTGAGACAGGGATACATACGGCCCTCCACTTCCCCGGCGTCCTCAAGTTTCTTTTTTGTGAAGAAAAAGGATGGAGGTTTGCGCCCGTGTATTGATTACCGCAGTCTCAATCAGATTACTGTGAAATACAGTTATCCACTCCCTCTGATTGCGACTATGACGGAGTCTTTACACGGGGCGCGTTTCTTCACAAAATTGGATCTCAGGAGCGCATACAACTTGGTGCGTATTAGGGAGGGAGACGAATGGAAGACAGCATTTAGTACCACCTCGGGTCATTACGAGTATCTCGTCATGCCATACGGGTTAATGAATGCTCCTTCAGTCTTCCAATCCTTCGTTGATGAGATCTTCCGGGATATGCAGGGGCAGGGAGTGGTCGTGTACATTGACGACATTCTAGTGTATTCTTCTACCCGAGCCGAGCATGTAGCCCTGGTGCGCCGAGTATTGAGGAGATTGTTGGAGCATGATCTGTATGTCAAGGCAGAGAAATGTCTGTTTTTCCAGGAGTCTGTCTCCTTTTTGGGTTATCAGTTGTCTGCGTCAGGGGTTAAGATGGAGGTTGACCGTGTGTCGGCCGTGCGTAATTGGCAAACTCCAACTACTGTTAAAGAGGTGCAGCGGTTCTTGGGTTTTGCGAATTACTACAGGAGGTTTATCCGGGGTTTTGGACAGGTGGCAGCTCCCATAACGTCTCTACTAAAGGGAGGTCCGGTGCGCTTGCAGTGGTCTGCTGAGGCGGATAGGGCTTTTGGGAGACTGAAGGACCTGTTTACCTCGGCGCCGGTGTTGGCGCATCCGGATCCCGCACTCCCATTCCAGGTCGAGGTAGACGCGTCTGAAGCCGGTATAGGGGCCGTGCTCTCGCAACGATCTGGCACGCCCCTGAAACTCCGCCCCTGTGCTTTTTACTCTAAAAAGCTCAGTCCGGCGGAGCGAAATTATGACGTGGGGGACAGGGAGCTGCTAGCCGTGGTTCAGGCCCTAAAGGTGTGGAGGCATTGGCTAGAGGGGGCTCAACACCCTTTCCTCATTTTCACAGATCACCGAAACCTGGAGTACATCCGGGCAGCTAGGAGACTGAACCCTCGCCAGGCTAGGTGGAATATGTTTCTGGCCCGGTTCGTTTTTAAGATCACGTACATCCCTGGGTCCCAGAATGGTAAGGCAGATGCTCTGTACCGGCGGTATGACACGGAGGAGAGGTCCGTTGAGCCCACGCCCATACTCCCGCCGTCTTGCCTGGTGGCACCGGTGGTGTGGGAGGTCGATTCCGAAATCGAGCGGGCGTTGCGTACCGATCCTAGCCCTCCACAGTGTCCTGTGGGTCGGACGTACGTGCCGTTCGAGGTTCGGGATCGACTTATATATTGGGCTCACACGTCACCCTCCTCTGGACATCCAGGGATTGGCCGGACGGTGCACTGCCTTAGCACTAAGTACTGGTGGCCAACGTTAGCCAGGCATGTGAGGGTTTATGTTTCCTTCTGTTCGGTATGTGCCCAGTGTAAGGCACCCAGACATTTGCCCAGGGGTAAGTTACAACCCCTGCCCGTTCCACAACGACCCTGGTCTCACCTCTCGGTGGATTTCGTTACTGATCTTCCCCTCTCCCAGGGAAATACCACCATCCTGGTCGTTGTGGATCGGTTCTCGAAGGCCTGTCGTCTCCTTCCCATGCCGGGTCTTCCCACTGCCCTACAGACCGCTGAGGCACTATTCACTCACGTCTTCCGGCATTACGGGGTACCCGAGGATATAGTGTCTGATCGAGGCCCCCAGTTTACCTCTCGAGTCTGGAGAGCGTTCATGGAGCGCTTGGGGGTCTCGGTGAGCCTTACCTCGGGGTACCACCCGGAGAGCAATGGGCAGGTTGAACGAGTAAACCAGGATGTGGGTAGGTTTCTGAGGTCGTATTGCCAGGGCCGGCCGGAGGAGTGGGCGAGATATGTTCCCTGGGCCAAGATGGCACAGAACTCTCTCCGCCACTCCTCCACTAAACTAACCCCTTTCCAGTGTGTGTTAGGGTACCAGCCGGTTCTGGCACCTTGGCATGAGAGCCAGATCGAGGCCCCTGCGGTGGATGAGTGGGTGCGGCGCTCGGAGGAGACGTGGAACGCTGCTCACGTACATCTGCAGCGGGCCATCCGTCGACACAAGGCGAGCGCCGATCTCCACCGCAGTGAGGGACCGGTGTACGCACCGGGAGATCGAGTCTGGCTCTCGACCAGAAACCTGCCCCTCCGCCTGCCCTGCCGGAAGCTGGGTCGGCGGTTTGTGGGGCCTTTTAAAGTCCTGAGGAGGTTGAACGAGGTGTGTTACAGATTACAACTTCCTATTGAGTATAAGAATATTAACCCCTCGTTCCATGTGTCTCTCCTCAGGCCGGTGGTAGCTGGTCCACTCCAGGAGTGTGAGATAGCAGAGACTCCTCCGCCCCCGCTGGACATCGAGGGGGCTCCGGCGTACACAGTTCGGTCCATCCTGGATTCGAGACGCCGGATGGGGGGTCTCCAATATCTCGTGGAGTGGGAGGGGTACGGTCCGGAGGAGCGGTGCTGGGTGCCGAGGAGAGATATCTTAGACCCGTCTCTTCTGACTGAGTTCCATCGTGGTCATCCCACGCGCCCTGCTCCGCGTCCTCCTGGTCGTCCCCGAGGCCGGGGTCGGCGCACGGCTGGAGCCGCGCGTCAAGGGGGGGGGTACTGTCACGGTTTCGGCCGAGGCTGCTCCTTCTCCCTGTTCGGGCAGGCTTCGGCGGTCGTCGTCCCCGGAGTACTAGCTGCCACCGTTCGTTGTGTCTGTGTGTGTTTGGTTTGGTCTGATTTGTTACACCTGTTGCTCATTTCGTCTTGATTATGTGTCCTTTAAGTTCTCGTTGTTTCTGTCTTGTGGTTGTGTGTAGTTGTTCTATGTCAGCAGGTGTTGCCAGTCAGTTTGTGCTCTATGTTTAGAGAGTCCGCACGTTGTGCGTTTGTTTGTACCTTTACGCTGAGTGCGTTTATTTTTCCCTTGTTCAACCGGCTCTGTTTATAGCCGTTGTTTCTGTGGACTTTATTAAAGTGTTTTTGGACTTGCATCTGCATCCTGCAATTGATTCCACACCACACCTACGCCCGGCCTTGACACCTGCACACTTCTCACATCTAGGAATCTCCCTTCTACACACTGCTGCAACATGCCCATAAACTTGACACCTAAAACACTGTAGTATTTCCAGAACAAAAGCTTACACTTCCTAACTTGACCTTGTCAGGCAAAGACTCTACATCAAAACTTAACAGGACAGACTATGTCTTCTCCTTGTGAATCTTCAATTTCAACTGATCCTCTTCAACACTTAATACCACCCCGTTATCACCCCTTTCAACAGAGCGCCGGACAGCAAAGCAAGTCCCATTTCTTGTCCCTAATCGCGTGATCCGGAGCACCGGCTCCCTCTGGACTGAAGAAACCCAATAAATCATCACTAATCTACTCCGAGTTACTCTCACCAACTCAACAGTCCCCAACCTCTTCTCCACCCAAACTGACACCACATATGGATCAGCCAAAATACAAGGATCCATTCTCTCCTCAAACCTCACTCCCTCTGGACCAGAAACATCCTTTTCATCCTCGGGACGAGGCTCGAACTCGGCGGTCCTCACCGCAGGTACTACATCCATACTCTCGTCATGTTCCATCTCTGAGCTACTAGAGCAAGTATCCCTCTTTTTGCACTTGACGCCAACCCTCCTCACCACATCGCTTCCATCAAAACTCCTTATCGGCGGTCATCACTGCACCTGCCACCACAACTACTTCACCCTCACTCTCATCACATTCCCTTTCCTCTACCTCTTCCAAAAGTTCTGTGCGATCCTCCATTCCACGTTCCATCAAAACATATTCCACTTTTCTCCTTATTTCCTTATCCGCCATCTTCTCCTTCACCAGATCTTTCCAGAAGGCTGTTACAATCCCTCACTCCATATATATATACATAATATGTTCTACTTTCTTCCTTTTTTCCTTGTCCACCATCTTAACGCCTTCCTTCAACCCTCATTCCTCAAAATAACGTCGCTAGGGTTCAATTCAGGACCCTCGAAAAAAAAAACACAAACTCTTCTCAACAGCTCTTAACATAAATCATGTTTTATTCTAACTGACTCCCTTGCACTGGCTTTATGCACTCTCACTAGACTCTACCCACACACTCACACATACTACACTGACACTCCAACACACATATACACACACACACACACTACATATGCTCTCACACACAAAACACACACGCATATTGACACCACACACACACACACACACTCACACATAGACAAACTTTCACACTCTTCAAATACGCTGCCGCTACCCTCTTTATTATACAACCTGATTGCCTAGTCACTTTTAACCCTACCTACATGTACATATTGTATTACCTCAACTACCTCAACTAACTCGTACCCCTCCACATTGACTCGATACTGGAACTCCTTGTACAGTGCATTCGGAAAGTATTCAGACCCCTTGACTTTTTCCACATTTTGTGATGTTACAGCCTTATTCTAACATGGATTAAATTGTTTTCTTCCCTCATCAATCTACACACAATACCCCATAATGACAAAGCAAAAACAGGTTTGTTTACATAAGTATTCAGACTCTTTATTCAGTACTTTGGCAGCGATTACAGCCTCGAGTCATCTTGGGTATGACGCTACAAGCTTGGCACACCTGTATTTGGGGAGTTTCTCCCATTCTTCTCTGAAGATCCTCTCAAGCTCTGTCAGGTTGGATGGGGAGCGTCGCTGCACAGCTATTTTCAGGTCTCTCCAGAGATGTTAGATCTGGTTCAAGTCCGGGCACTGGCTGGGCCACTTAAGGACATTCAGAGATTTGTCCCGAATCCACTCCTGCGTTGTCTTGGCTGTGTGCAAGGATCGTTGTCCTGTTGGAAGGTGAACCTTCGCCCCAGTCTGAGGTCCTGAGCGCTCTGGAGCAGGTTTTCATCAAGGATCTCTCTGTACTTTGCTCCGTTCATCTTTCCCTCGATCCTTACTAGTCTCCTAGTCCCTGCCGCTGAAAAACATCCCCACAGCATGATGCGGCCACCACCATGAATCACCGTAGGGATGGTGCCAGGTTTCCTCCAGACGTGACGCTTGGCATTCAAGCCAAAGAGTTCAATCTTGGTTTAATCAGACCAGAGAATCTTGTTTCACATGGTCTGAGAGTCCTTTAGGTGCCTTTTGGCAAACTCCAAGCTCTATCTATTGTTCCAATTACTGGTTGTAATTACTGGTTGTTCTGATATACAACTGCACTTGACACATTCCACAAATGATAAACACATTTTAGAGTTCTTATAAATGTAACCTGCTAAATAGTTGCATTTGTACACTGAACAAAAATATTAACGCAGCATGCAACAATTTCAAAGATTTTACTAAGTTACAGTTCATATAAGGAAATCAGTCAATTGAAATAAATTAATTAGGCCCTAATCTATGGATTTCACATGACTGAGAATACAGATATGCATCAGTTGGTCACAGATACCTTTTTTTTTTTTAAGTAGGGGCGTGAATCAGAAAGCAGTCAGTATCTGGTGTGACCACCATTTGCCACATGCAGCACATTTTACATTTACATTTTCGTCATTTAGCAGACGCTCTTATACAGAGCGACTTACAAATTGGTGCATTCACTTTATGATAGCCAGTGGGACAACCACTTTACCATAGTATTTTTTTTTTCTTTTTTTTGGGGGGTGGGGTAAGGGGGGATAGAAGGATTACTTTATCCTATCCCAGGTATTCTCTAAAACTATGTTGGATGCATCTTATTTTAGAGAAATTAAGCTCTGGTGGACATGCCTGCAGTCAGCATGCCAATTACACGCTCCCTCAAAACTTGGGACATCTGTGGCATTGTGTTGTGTGACAAGACTGCACATTTTAGAGTGGCCTTTTATTGTCCCCAGCATAAGGTGCACCTGTGTAATGATCATGCTGTTTAATCAGCTTCTTGATATGCCACACCTGTCAGGTGGATGGATTATCTTGGCAAAGGAGAAATGCTCACTAACAGGGATGTAAAAAAAAATATGTGCACAAAATTTGAGATAAATAAGCTTTTTGTGCATATGGAACATTTCTGGGATATTTCATTTCAGCTCATGAAACATGGGACCAACACTTTACATGTTGCGTTTATGTTTTTGTTCAGTGAACATTTCAAGTGCTTGAATTTGATTATTAGTAATCAAATACAAACCTTGAATTGATTACTCGAGTACTCATGACCATCCCTAACCACAAATAAAAAGCAAAACATTCCAGTAGTCTGTTCTTTCTGGTTCAACCCCTGTGTGTATGTGAAAATAGCTGGTTAAAATCTCAGAAATTGGCAATCCCTGAGTGATGTGATTACTCAGAACCACTTACTCCTATTTATACAATGTGACTTTTGAGTCTAGGTCTTTGTGAAAGTGAAGCTATTGATGACGGTCTGCCCAGCAAGCCCTTTAAAAATGTGATGAGCTGGTTATCCATTGCTATAGTATAGGCTGTAAAATATGGGGAAGTCCAGAGGTGAACTACACGGGTTTCACTGAAATGGCTTTATCAGCAGACAGGAAAGACCATAGCAGAGGAATGAAGGAGGAAATGAGGGAAGGACAGAGAAAGACCAGAGTTAGGTAATACTGTGATGCAACAGCATGTGATCCTGACGTTCCGCCTTCCAGGTGTGTTAGTGTCAAGGGCGAGGCTGTTGGCGGTAACCCATCTGTCTGCCAGTTGGAACAGTGCTCAGCTGCAGTATAAATACATACACACCTGAACCTGACTCATAAACACACAGACTTTAAACTGATATTCTAAAGAAGCTGAGACACAGCTCAGGTGGATATTTACCTCTTAGTGGTGTATTCAGGTGGCTTTTACCTGCTGGTGGTGTATTCAGGTGGATATTTACCTGCTGGTGGTGTATTCAGTTGGATGTTTACCTGCTGGTGGTGTATTCAGGTGGGTTTTACCTGCTGGTGGTGTATTCAGGTGGCTTTACCTGTTGGACTTTACCCCAAGAGAGAAGAAATGTCACTCCATTCGGCACTCTGATCTACACTCTTTCTATCACATTGGACTTTGTGCACAATATACTAGTACATTTGTCACAGACAAAGTGAATCCGACCTAAACCCCCAGAGAGCAAGCAGAGACGACAGAAGCAAGGGATAGGTAGATACTCCAAAGGGATTGGTAGAAACCTTGAGAGGAACCCAACTGCAGCGACCAACTGTGTCAATAGTCTCTATATATTTGGAAATGCCACTGTGGAGACGGACAAAGGCTGGCGATGAGGAGTGTAACCGTGCTGTCCTGGTCTCAGTGTCGAACTTTGACCACGGTGTACCACTGGGCAGGAGGCCAGGGGCAGAGAAAGACAGCAAAAGACTCCACCGTACCCTGACCAGACTGGGATACAGAGTGGACATACACACTGACCTCACCTCTCAGGAGATGTACACACTCTTCAGGACAGGTAACACACACACCCTATGCACACACACTCCTGCTCTACATCAGCTCTAAAACAAGAATACATATTTTATATCCTGGTTTTAACCATGTCACCAAACTTATCAAAGTTCTTACATAATGTTAGCAATTAGGGGACAGTCACGGAGTCCACTGCAGCCCAGAATACAAAACAATTGAAAACCTACACTGAGTGTACAAAACATTATGAACACCTGCTCTTTCCATGACATAGACTGACCAGGTGAATCCAGGTGAAAGCTATGATCCCTTATTGATGTCACTTGTTAAATCAACTTCAAGCCTTGAGACATGGATTGTACATATGTACCATTCAGGGGGTGAATGGGCAAGACAAAATATTTATGTGCCTTTGAACAGGGTATGGTAGTAGATGGATGGTTCTGGTAGGTCAAAGAACTGCAAAGCTGCTGGGTATTTCACGCTCAACAGTTTCCCATGTGTATCAAGAATGGTCCACCACCGAAAGGACATCCTTCCCACAACTGTGGGAAGAATTGGAGTCTCCATGGGCCAGCATTCCTCTGGAACTGTTGAGCGTGAAAAATGCAGCAGCGTTGCAGTTACGATCATACCCCGTTCTAAGACACTTAAATATTTTGTCTTGCCCATTCACCCTCTGAATGGCACACACACAATCCAAGTCTCAATTGTCTCAAGGCTTAAAAATCCTTCTTTGACCTGTCTCGTCCCCTTCAGGGGGGAGGCAGAGGAAAGATACTGTGTCATTCATTTTTATTTACAGTAATAATCATTGGAGATTTGAAATACTGTATATATGGCGTGCAGACAGAATGAAAGTATGACACACACAAACACACATACACACGAGACAGAATGTCCTAGAGATAAAGGATGACACACACAGTCCTATACACACCTGTTTAATAACTACTGTGCAAATACCTGCAGACATATGCACACACCATGCCATGCCCTGCAGACAGGATGACAGATGGATAAGCTAATCTTCCATTAAAGGAAACTGTTTTGAGGAATCACATGCCACCATCATGACATGCCACAGCAGGGGAGAGAATCTTCTAGTAGTGTTTCTTCTTCTAACCGGTACAGCCAGAGAGGGATGGGCCCATCCATAGTCTGGTTCCTCTAAAGGTTTCTTCCTTTTAGGCAGTTTTTCCTTGCCACTGTGCTGCTGTTTGCTCTTAGTGGGTCTAGGCCGGTAAAACACTTTCTGACAAAACATTTATAAATGAATACAATTTGATTAATTGATTGATTGATGTATTGATTGATTGCAGAGAGTGAGCGGCCGGTGAAGGAGTGTTTCCTGGCGGTGCTGTCGTCTCACGGAGAGGAGGGCTGTGTATTCGGGACGGACGGAAGGCCGGTTAGACTGTCCCACATATTTTCCTGCTTCAACAACACACACATGGAGGGAAAGACCAAACTGTTCTTTATCCAGGTCAGTACCATCATCATCATCAATCACCACATCCACAACAAAAAATATGTAAATCAGTCAGTGATATGATAATCATCATTAGTAATCATCTCTCTCTCTCTCTCTCTCCCTCTCGCTCTCTCTCTAGGCGTGTCGTGGGGGTGAGCTGGATGATGGGGTGACGGTGGAGACAGATTCAGCAGGAAGTGATGTCACTGAGGACACCCTGTCTCAGTACCTGTCCATCCCCATGGATACAGCGGTGATGTACGCCACCACGCCAGGTTACGGGGCCTTCATGCACCCTCTGGGGGCCGTCTTCCTCCAGACGCTCTGCATCCTATTGGAGGAGGAAGGGGGCGGAGCCCTGGAGCTGACACGCCTCCTGACACGCCTCTCCCACCGCGTAGCCTTCGGCTTCCAGGCCAAAGGCCGTCTGCTGGGGGGGAAAAAGGAAATGCCCTGCTTCGTATCGCGACTGACCAAAGAGGTGTTCCCATTCGCAGAGCCCGGGAAGGAGGGCGGGGCCAATGGGCTTTCTGCAACAACATTGGTCAACCCAGAGCACAACAGACCTCGCAAACCATCTATAAGCTAAACCCAAAGCCTTTGTGAGATCTAAAGACACTTGTCGCTCACAGATTGACAGGCTAGACTTGCTCTGTCAGCTACATTAGTACGGATGACTTTCGATGTGTTGTTAGCCAGATGGTTGTGAGTTTGTGCCAAGGTTGGGACAGAATTTCCACTCTGTTGCCTGTGTGCATATTCATGTGCATAATAGAAACAGAACATTGTGATGATCAGATACGCGGATACAGGAACAGATCTGGAGGTTGATGGTTTCACCACAGAGTAGATGATTATGGCTTCTTTCTTTACAGACAACTGACACGGCTTAAAATATTCTAGATAATGACCAGTATACTATGTTTTTGAGTCTATTTCTTTAATTAATATTCTAGTTAATGAATGGTATACTATGTTATTTGAGTCTATTTCTTTAATTAAAATGGCAACATATGGCTTAGCTTCTGCTTCTATGCTCTTATTTGAAACCATTCAATGTAAGTTGAACACGCATGCTCAATGTTGACTGTGTTAAAAACTACTTATCGTGTGACAATATACACTACCGTTCAAAAGTTTGGGGTCCTTAGAAATGTCCTTGTTTTCCATGAAAACATACATTAGATTAGTTTGAATAGGAAATATAGCAAAATAAATAGGAAATGTTGTCATTGACAAGGTTAGAAATAATGATTTTTAATTGAAATAATAATTGTGTCCTTCAAACTTTGCTTTTGTCAAAGAATCCTCCATTTGCAGCAATTACAGCCTTGCAGACCTTTGGCATTCTAGTTGTCAATTTGTTGAGGTAATCTGAAGAGATTTCACCCCATGCTTCCTGAAGCACCTCCCACAAGTTGGATTGGCTTGATGGGCACTTCTTACGTACCATACGGTCAAGCTGCTCCCACAACAGCTCAATAGGATTGAGATCCGGTGACTGTGCTGGCCACTCCATTATAGACAATATACCAGCAGACTGCTTCTTCCCTAAATAGTTATTGCATAGTTTTGAGCTGTGCTTTGGGTCATTGTCCTGTTGTAGGAGGAAATTGGCTCCAATCAAGCGCCGTCCACAGGGTATGGCATGGCGTTGCAAAATGGAGTGATAGCCTTCCTTCTTCATGATCCCTTTTACCCTGTACAAATCTCCCACTTTACCACCACCAAAGCACCCCCAGACCATCACATTGCCTCCACCATGCATGACAGATGGCATCAAGCACTCCTCCAGCATCTTTTCATTTGGTCTGCGTCTCACAAATGTTATTCTTTGTGATCCGAACACCTCAAACTTCGATTTGTCTGTCCATAACACTTTCTTCCAATCTTCCTCTGTCCAGTGTCTGTGTTCTTTTGCCCATCTTAATCTTTTAATTTAATTGGCCAGTCTGAGATATGGCTTTTTCTTTGCAACTCTGCCTAGAAGGTCAGCAACCCGGAATCGCCTCTTCACTGTTGACGTTGAGACTGGTGTTTTGCGGGTACTATTTAATGAAGCTGCCAGTTGAGGACCTGTGAGGCGTCTGTTTCTCAAACTAGACACTCTAGTTGTATTTGCTCAGTTGTGCACCGGGGCCTCCCACTCCTCTTTCTATTCTGGTTAGAGACAGTTTGCGCTGTTCTGTGAAGGGAGTAGTACACAGCGTTGTACGAGATCTTCAGTTTCTTGGCAATTTCTCGCATGGAATAGCCTTCATTTATCAGAACAAGAATAGATTGATGAGTTTCAGAAGAAAGTTATTTGTTTCTGGCCATTTTGAGCCTGTAATCGAACCCCAATTGCTGATGCTCCAGATACTCAACTAGTCTCAAGAAGGCCAGTTTTATTGCTTCTTTAATATTCACAACAGTTTTCAGCTGTGCTAACATAATTGCAAAAGGGTTTTCTAATGATCAATTAGCCTTTTAAAATGATAAACTTTTTCCTATTTGGTTCTCTATTGCTCAACTATTGCTCCCACAAGCATGGGGGAGTCCATCAGACCAACTCCTTGAATGGCCTACTCCAAGAAGTTTGAACTTGTCATTTGTTTTTGCTAAAAACATTATTTTTTACCCTTAAGTGTGTGTATATTACTGTATACGTGGGATATTGTTTTTCCAACAGGGAAAGTAAAAAAATATCTGGAGTGCATCTTTTCTCTTTGAACCCACATACTGAGCTATGAGAAGGACTATGGGCCTTTCCCCTGACAGACAGACAATACTGGGACAGAAGAACACATAACATGAACACCTGTCACCTGACACACTCTGGTACATAATTACCTACCACAAACAAATGCACTGATAAACCACCTCATAACCACACACACAACACCTGATTACTGATACAAATTTACTTCTCAGCACTTTCACTTTTCCCTCTCAAGACTCATTTACAGTAAGACGGATTCTCTGCTGAGGAACTCGGAGGTCATGACCATTAGCGTTACATGTTTAATCATTAACCTGGGAGTACCTTCAACCAGCAGATAACATTTAGTAGAGCAGACTGTAACCCTGCTCTGGTACAACTGATAGCATACACCTATGCATTTACATTTTAGTCATTTAGCAGACGCTCTTATCCAGAGCAACTTACAGGAGCAATTAGGGTTAAGTGCCGCTGCTCAAGTGCATTTTGACAGATTTTTTAACTAGTCTGGTCTGGGTTTCGAACCAGCGACCTTTCGGTTACTGGCTCTTAACCGCCAGGCTACCTGCTCTGAGTTTACCTAGGGCTGATACAGGGACACAAACACACAAACAAACTCGTCCATGCAGACACACACACACACACACACACGATGGCTGTGTTCCAAATACCCAAATTATGTTCAGCCTTGCTCCGATTGTAAGATGATTACATCAGTGACTGTGCACTTTATTTTAGTAATAAAGGTTAAGTTGAGGAAACTTGTTCTTGAACAGTTCATATCAAAATCAAATCAAATTTGTCACATGTGCCGAATACAACAGGTGTAGACCTTACCATGAAATGCTTACTTACAAGCCCTTAACCAACAATGCAGTTCAAGAAATAGAGTTAAGAAAATATTTACTAAATAAACTAAAGTAAAAAATTAAAATAACCAAAAACAATAAAATAACGATGCTATATACAGGGGGTACCGGTACCGAGTCAATGTGCGGAGGTACAGGTAAGTCGAGGTAATTTGTACGTATGGGTAGGGGTAAAGTGACTATGCATTGATAATAAACAGCGAGTAGAAGCATTGTAAAAACAAAATGTAAATAGTCCGGGTGGCCATTTGATTAATTGTTCAGCAGTCTTATGGCTTGGGGGTAGAAGCTGTTAAGGAGCCTTTTGGACCTAGACTTGGCGCTCCGGTACAGCTTGCCGTGCGGTAGCAGAGAGAACAGTCTATGACTAGGGTGGCTGGAGTCTTTGACAAAAAAATTTGCCTTCCTCTGACACCGCCTAGTATATAGGTCCTGGATGCCAGGAAGCTTGGCCCCAGTGATGTACTGGGCTGTACGCACCACCTCTGTAGCGACTTACGGTCAGATGCCGAGCAGTTGCCATTCCAGGCGGTAATGCAACCGGTCAGGATGCTCTCGATGGTACAGCTGTATAACTTTTTGAGGATATGGGGACCCATGCCAAATCTTTTCAGTCTCCTGAGGGGGAAAGGGTGTTGTCATGTCCTCTTCACAACTTTATTGGTGTGTTTGGACCATGATAGTTTGTTGGTGATGTGAACACCAAGGAACTTGAAACTCTCGACCCGCTCCACTACAGCCCAGTAGATGTGAATGGGGGCCTGTTCGGCCCTCCTTTTCCTATAGTCCACGATCATCTCCTTTGTCTTGCTCACGTTGAGGGAGAGGTTGTTGTCCTGGTACCACACTGCCAGGTCTCTGACCTCCTCCCTATAGGCTGTCTCATCGTTGTCGGTGATCAGGCCTACCATCGTTGTGTCGATGTCGTGCTTGGCCACACAGTCGTGGGTGAACAGGGAGTACAGGAGGGGACTAAGCACACACATTTTATTTGTGCTGGTCAAACAACATTATTTTACGAGGTTTATAGGAAACACCTACCTTCAATGATGAGATCTATTGAAGATGCAGTGTTTATTTGAAAGACTATGCTACCAAAGGCAAAGACCACACAGGCACAGACACGTTTCAGAAATAAGTAGATGTTTATTATCAAGACTCAGTCATTCAGGGTGTTATAAAAGAATAGGGGAGGGAGGGAAAACTGAGATCTACACTCATTACTACCACTAAGACTGAAATGAACTGAAACGTACATGTACTTTGATCAATTTTTCTTTAAAAATTAACCTTTACATTTTTGTATTTTATACAAGTAGGAAATTGGACAAATTAATAAAAAAAATAAAAAAAAGGTAAGATGTTGCAATACCATTTGACAAAAAATGTTTAGTTTCATTAAGACAAGTTAAAAAGAGGTGTGGTCAAATATTGACCAATAATTGTTTCCTTTTCATACTAATATATAAAACCAGGTCTACTATCTATAAAAGGTTAAAAAAGTTTATTTACAGACAAAAGAAAAAGCAATAAAGAAAGTAGGAAGAAATTGATCCTAATCTTAAGGCAACAGGGGGTGTTGCAGGCTTTTCCCCCCCAGCCCAGCACTAAAACATGATTCCGCTAATCAAGTAATAATCTTCATTTAAACCTCTATTCAAACACTATTCAATTTGTGTGTATTGCTGGGCTGAAGTATCATGTAGCACTCAAGGAGTTGTTCACTCCTGCCCACAGAGTAGAGAGGACTCTCCTACCCACTGATAGGGGGTCAGATATTTTTTCATCCCACCCATGATTAGAGACAGGGCTTAGAGGTATCTGTGGTTAGGGGTAGTGTAATGCTTAAGGTTACGACTGGCCGTAGAGGAATCTGATCATAGATCTGTGGTTAGCGTCTTTGGGTTTCAATTATTATTTCTAGTGACGAGGGAGAGAGGCTGGGACTGGAGCATGGCATGATGGGAGCTCATCGTTGATTGGTGGATAGAGGTGGGAGTAGCTAAGCCAGAGGCGAAGGGGATTGGTCGAGACAGGAACGGCGGAGTCTGTTTGCTGGATGAGCTCATGTGGGGAGAAAACGGGGGATGAGAGGAGGAGGGGGAGGAAGAAGAGGAGGAGGGGGATGGAGATGAAGAGGTATTGGGGGTGGGGGGCGGGGGGAGGCGTGTGTGAGTTAATAAGTGTGGATGTGTGTGAAACTGGATGTGGGTGTAAGCCTGACCGTGTGTGTCCCTGTGTGACTGCAGACGAGGCGGTTTGGTGGTGAGGGAGAGGGGCTGGACCTGCTCAGGATGTGTGTGCTCAGAGTGAGAGTGTGTGTGTTCGGTGTGTGTGGGTGCGGGAGCAGCAGGGGAGGCCAGAGCAGTGGTGGGCGTGGATGGAGAGTCCAGAGAGGAGGCGGGACTAGCCTGGGACAGGTGTGTGTGTGTCAGGTGTGTATGAGACACACTGGGCCTCTCCTGAGTTCCATACGACACACACGACTTCTTGAGCTGCGGGGAGAAGTGCTCTGGAGAGACACAATAAAACACACTGATCAGTCTTGCTGTTACCTTCCAGTTACGTCATTAAGTAGAACAGAGTTGGTCACTTCTCATGTCTTCATATTTCTCTGATCTTGGATGTATTAGGTGGTTCTTACCCTCTGGAGCAGCTGACTGGGTGTGTGTTATCTGTCCCTCTGGAGCAGTCTCTGGCCTGCCATCTCTCTTCCTCTTCTTCCTCTTCCCCTGCACACACACACACACACAACCAATCACATCACATCCTCCATCACACAGCAACCAATCAAATCACTACTAAATAATTATTATAGTACTTACGTAGTTGTCTCTAGCTGACCATCCAGGGTAGAGTTGGGAGTGTAGCTGTCTCTCCTTGCGGGCCATATCATAGTACTTAGACTGCTCCTCGCGAGACAGAGTGTGCCACTGTAGACAGACAAGCACACAGGGTTAACACAGACACACCCTTCTGGAGCATAGGTCATTGACAACTTTCAGTATGAACACACACATTGTACAAACAAAGACTGTGTGTGAGCACGCATACACACACTGCCACTCACCCTGCGTCCCAGTATCTGGTTGATGGCAGCACTCTCCTTCAGGGTGCACTCTGCCACCACCTTGGGTCTCTGCTCCTTCATGTATAGCATAAAGGCATTCAGAGGCTTCTTCACATGAGGCTTCTTCTCCTCCTCTCTGTCCCCCATAGACACAGCACACCTCCTACACCACACACACATACACAGCACAGAGTTACGGAGTCAGCAAGAGGTGTTTGTGTGTGTGATAAAGGTGTGTGTGTGTGTGTGTGTGTGTGTGTGTGTGTGTGTGTACCCGTGCTGGTTGCTGTCTCTTGCTTCCTGTTTGATCGCCGTGGAAACGATGGCAGAGTGGGGGACAGACGTCTGGGGAGGCGGGACCATGTGGGGAGAGAAACGACTGGACACAAAGCTGTCAAACACACACCACAGCATAAATAACAATTAAATGACATGATTGCATTCTTTACAGAAGTCCAGTCTTCACTGTATGTCGTCTCCAGAAGAGTGATACATGGATGTGTTTGAGTAATTAGGTGAGCTGTACCTGGACATGGAAGAGTTCATGGCGAGAGCTGCAGGGTAGGACGGTCTAAACCCCCCCGCTGGAATACCGTACATGGACTGGCCCTGTCTGGAGACAGAATGTGAGAGAGGGGAAACAGTGTTACTTTTGTAATAGCATATGTTGTGCTAGAAATTGTTGCCAAAATAAACTAAACCATTAATGTATTCACCATGAGAGTTTGAATGAGCGTGTGTGTGTGTGTGACTCACAGCCAGCCCAGAGGGTGTGTCATGTGTCCTATGCCTCCAGGAGAGAGAGGGTAGTAGGGAGAGAGCTCTGCTGGGTGGGGGGTAGGGGGAAGACCTGGAGAGGGGAGAGCAACATATAGATCTGTTTTTATATAGCAACAAGTGTCATCTGACAGATATCAAACGTAAAATGTGAATCACCTAGGATTTAACATTTATACTGAGCATTCCAGACAAAGGTAGAAAGAGGGAGGAGAGGAAATTTCATACCTGTGTCCGCTGAGAGGTGAGGAGGTGGTGTCTGTGGGGGGAAGCGGTCTGGACTGTAGGACAGGAGGGGGGAGAAGGGGGACAGGTGACTGTGCTGCACCACTGGTACCTTATTGGACTAGAGAGAGAAGAGAGGGAGATATAGAGAGGGAGGAGGCAGGGATTAGATTTGGAACAGAGTAGTGGTAATACGGCACCTGGCCACAAGGTTTCACTGTTTCTCCCCTAGTTGGAATTTGCACCATATTGCTCATAACTTGGCTATATAACGCTTTCAAATTGACATGAGCCTTGGCCCTAGGGCGTAGGGGCTGGGGGTGTTTCTGGGCTGACTGGCTGTATCAGTGACAGGGGGTCAGTCCTCCACCAGGTCTTCAGAGCTCTCCTCAGATACCCAACACACACTCTGTCACATACACACACTCATCTCATACACACTCACTGTCCCGGTCTCTGTGTCAGAAAACACACACAGCCATCGCTGCACACACCACCCACACCACCCAGAGGTGCTAAAGTCCTCAATGTCTCTGGACGGATTAACACCATTCAGCTTTAACATTCCAGCGTCTGTCTGTCTGCAGCAGGTTTGAGGGAGGTCAGGAGGGTGTGTGTGTGAGCGAGCCTGGAGAGGGTGAGGGAGGTCAGGAGTCAGGTCACCTGAGTGCTGTGTGTGGACACTCTGGGAGACATGCTAAACGGCTGATAGTAGCAGAGCAGGGTTACTAACCAGGGTAAGCTTTGTAGGAAAAACAAGGTACTTCAGCAAAGTACGTAGCAAGAAGCTAGCTTGTTACTCTGTGAGCAACAGTTGGCCTTTTAGATGTTATATGTCAGGGCAGGTGATGTCACTGCATAGTCGCTAGACTGAAGTGCACACTCACCATGTGAGCAGGGGAGGGAGAGCGAGGGTCTTTTAAAGCAGAAGTTCCAGGAACATCCAGCATGGGCCACTTCATCTGTAGATACTAGAGAGAGAGAGCGAGCGAGTGATTTAAAACATACAACTTTTTTAAATTGTTTGCATGCACTACATATTAAAAAAGATTTCATGGACAAAAATTACATATCGTGAAACGGTATGAAGAGGGGTGTCTATGGAGGGACGTATGGGGGAGGACAAGGGAACAGCTGGGAGGATGTGTGTGTGACACGTGTGTGTGCGACACGTGTGTGTGTGTGTTACAGAGTGTGATAGGTGAGAGAGAGAAGGGGGGAGCGAGAGAGAAGTGAATTCCGATGACATGGGTCCTGGTCAGATTACTGTATGCAGACTGACAAAACTGACAAACACCCACCCACTATCTAGTGAGTGTATCAGTCAGACTCCAGCTGCACGTCTCTCTACATTAGGGTTTATGTGTGGGAACGCTTGTTTTTAGAAAAGCAGTGCACACACACAACCAGTGCTTAAACATACAGTGTTTCCCCTAGGATTTTTTCCAGCAGCGGTGGCAAAATTAGCGGGGGGGAAGGGGGATGTGGTAGTGTGCGTGGGCAATTGCGCGGGTTTAGATGTCCTCTTGGCCGCAGATCTTTTAGTTGTTGCCGTTTTAAAGCCAATTTCCTGCAATTATACACATTTTGCCATGAGGCAGTTAGAACAGTTTACAGTTTTAAAGCTAATCTCCTGCAATTCTGCAATGGTCATGGCATATGCCTTGCTCTTATGCTATCTGAGTGACTGAAACATTGCCATGACATTTTTGGAATTTCAGATTCTCCCTGTCTAGTTTTTATTTTGGTGATTGTTAGTTCTCAAATATGATCTTATTAAAAAATACATTGCTCTATTATCTTTTCTACATACTTTACATCTGGTTTTAGCCATTTAAGTTTACACTGAAAACGTTTTACCTTCCTGAACCCCACCCCAACCAAGTGGCGGCCACGATTTAGCAGCGGCAGTGAACCACTGCTAAATGCATGTAGGGGAAACACTGACGTCGAGCACAACAACTCAGTGGTCAGTCTCCACTCAAAGGAGGTGAGACAGGAAGGAAGGAAGGAAGGAAGGAAGGAAGACAGGATAAGAGAGGGCTAAAAATGGACATGGCAATATGCAAGAGTACAGAGGTCTAGTATCTGTGCCTGTGGTGCTTGTAGGGACAAGTATATTGAGGTAGAAAGTGACCTAGAGAGGTCGAGAGAGGAGTAGCAAGATGTGCCATAGAAAGGGAGATAGAATGTGTGTGACATGGGTATAATGCAGGGGTTCTCAAAGTGTACAGGGTCCGCGGAGGTACTGCAGGGGTACTTAAAAAAAAAAAAGAATAATACTAACAGATTAAATTAATTTAGGAATAAATTGAGAGTGTAATATAATATTATTAAATCTACAGTTTATGTTCTTAACCCTGGGCCACCTGGGCCTGGGATGCTCACTGGGATATCGGTCTCCAAAAATTACAAACATAAATGTACTGTAATTTAAGCTTTAAAACTGCAAAGTTTTCTCTCTGCCCCATTACCAAATGTGCAGAATTGCAGAACATTTGCTAAAATGTTCTCTCCGATGCCAAGATTGGCATTTAAAATGTTCCTTCCCAGGGCCCGAAACTTGGTTCGTCCGGCCACGCACTGCCAAAGTCATAGTAAAACTCCCTGTACTCTTTGTGTTGTGATTATGAGGGGGTCCCTGATGAATTCGCCATCACAAAATGGGTCCCCGGCCCCAAAACGTTTGAGAACTTTGTAATGTTCACAGCAGACCAACATGCTACATTGAGTCCCATTATGTAGCAGGTCAAATAAAACTAAAATAATGAGCACCACAAGAACATAGGTGTTTGCCTGTACAGGGAGTGTGTGTTCACTGCACAAGGAGAGAAAGTGTGTGTGAGAGAGGCTGAGCAGCCCTTCCTCCATACTCTCTATTGCTACCTCTCACACACACGCACACACACACACTCACTCGACTACACACACATACCCCCATCCCAAGGCCCCAGGAAGTTCTGGCTGTGAGCTCTAACTGAAACCAGCTGTTAGAAATACCATACTGATGAAGCCTACACACATACACACCCTTTCTCTCTCTTTTTCCTCCTTAATTTAGCATAATAGGTTTCATAAGCAGTTTTGTAAACACTATTCACCATAAATAAAAAGCTGTGTGAACAGCATTAGGTAGCATAATTTATCTTTCTTTGTATGTTGCAAAAACGTTTGATTGCAGAATCCAACAGAATAGTTTGTGTAGTTCAGAGAAAAACAAAGGAACTTAAGTCCACATCAGTTTAGCTCTGCAAACTAGATGGGACATTTTTTAAAATATATATACACACACTGAACAGAAATATTAAAATTCTAAATTGTTTTATATTTTGCTAAGTTACAGTTCATACAAGGACAATCAGTCAACTTAAATACATTCATTAGGACCTAATCTATGGATTTCACATGACTGGGAATACAGATATGCATCCGTTGGTCAATATGGGCCTCAGGATCACGTCACGGTATCTCTGTGCATTCCCATTGCTATTGATCAAATGCAATTGTTTTGGTTTCCGTAGCTTATGCCTGCCCATACCATAACCCCACCGCCACCATGGGGCACTCTGTTCACAATGTTGACATTAGCAAACTGCTCGCCCATACGACGCTATACACGTGGTCTGCGGTTGTGAGGCCGATTGGACGTCTAAGACGACGTTTGAGGTGGTTTATGGAAGATAAATTAACATTCAATTATCTGGCAACAGCTCTGGTGGACATTCCTGCAGTCACCATGACAATTGCACGCTTCTTTAAAACTTGAGACATCTGTGGCATTGTGTTGTGTGACAAAACTGCTCATTGTCCCCAACACAAGGTGCATCTGTGTAATAATATGAACGCTATTTAATCAGCTTCTTGATATGCCACAGCTGTCAGGTGGAAGGATTATTATAACAAGGACAAACACATTTGTGCACACAATTTGAGAGAAATACGATTGTGTGTGTATATGGAACATTTCAGGGAACTTTTATTTCAGCTCATGAAACATGGGACCAACACTTTACATGTTGCGTTTATATTTTTGTTCAGTGTATATCACTATTCAAATGACATGATTTTTTTGTTGGATATCTGTATATTCAATGTGGCTTTTTAAACACGGTTCTAACCTGAGCACTGCTGCGAGAGGGAGAGGCTGGTACTCTACTAATGCAGCTTCCATCTGTGAGTTCAGATGGGAGCGAGCAGACGGAGGGAGAGCGAGACAACTCGGCTACAGCCAAAACGACCTAACTTGTAGCAGCCACAATGTTATTTATCATCCCATATAACAGTGCCTGTCTTGCCTGGAAGAAGCTAGCCAGCTATAGCTAGCTAGACTTTGATGCTGCGCTTTCTCCCCAACACCATTCAGATAAAACAACAGCCTGCCTTTTGGTTGCTCGTTGTAGCCTACTTCTCACTTTGCTAACTTTTAATTCTGTCATTTTATTCCATCTTGCATTGCATTAGTGAACTCTCACTCCACTTACTACACATTGAGCCTCGGTCGCTTTCATTGGCCAACATAAACAACAAGCCAACGTTACACACGTGAAGGCTACCGGTCTTTTTATGGGGCACACATCATAAAAATTACATTGAAAAGTTTGTTTTATTAAATGAATCATTTGAAATGTCATGGTAAATCCGTGTATGCAAAAATGACAAGGATATTTTAATTCAATTTAGAAAAAGCCTTTTCTGTGTCATAATAGGCCTATATTTATTTATTTTTGCAAAAATGAATACACACAATATTCGAATAACCATGCACATCCCTACTGCAGACATTGTCCCATGTGAGTGCACGCTTCAGACATAATGTGCAAGTCTGTGTGTGTGTAAAGGTTGCAGTGTGTGTTTATGTTAAGTGTGAGGCCCTCTGGCCTGTGGTTACTCCATATTGTCTCACTGGTCTTAAAATTCCAGGAGAGAAGGCTGTCAACATCACCAACCTTTACACATACAAAGAGAGAGGGAGAGAGGTGTGTTAGAACAGTCACTAATCTCTCCACACATTCCCTCCTGAAATTCACTAATGCCCAGGGGTGACTGACAACCGATTGTGTGCGTGTGTTGAAAGCTACCTGAGTGAGAAACCTGAGCCACACGTCTGCCTCCATCTCCAACACTCCTGTCTAACTCTAAAGGCTCTGCATGCTTCCCATCCGAAACAGCTTGTGCATATATTATAACGACATTTTGACCCTAGGCAATAATTTTTTATCTCGGGGCATGCCGAAGTATACGCCCCTTCGTCGTGATAGGTCAACAGTAGGGACTCCTCAATTAAGTGTTTGTCGTCATTCAACGAGAGACTAAAAATTGTGACTAAGATCGCATCAGCATAAACAACAAAATGAATGACAGATTTTGAGTTCTTAGATTAAGTATGACTGTTTAGAGGAAGTGTATACTGGCCACGGCGTCTCAAGACGGACAAACAGTACTATTGCCGCTTTTTTCTTGTTTCCAAATGAAGGTTGAAGGTCCACTATATATACAAAAGTATGTGGATACCCCTTCAAATTAGCAGATTCGTCTATTTCAGCCACCCCCGTTGCTGACAGGTGTATAAAATCGAGCACACAGCCATGCAATCTCCATAGACAAACATTGGCAGTAGAATGGCCTTACTGAAGAGCTCACCGACTTTCAACGTGGCAGTCATAGGATGCCATCTTTCCAAATGTCTGTCCTGCTAGAGCTTCCCCGGTCAACTGTAAGTGCTGTTATTGTGAAGTGGAAACGTCCAGGAGCAATAACGGCTCAGCTGCGAAGTGGTAGGCCACACAAGCTCACAGAAAGGGACCACTGAGTGCTGAAGCGCGTAAAAATAATCTGTCCTCGGTTGCAACACTGACTACCGAGTTCCAAACTGCCTCTGGAAGCAACGTCAGCACAATAACTGTTCGTCAGGAGCTTCATGAAATGTCTTTCCATGACCGAGCAGCCACACACAAGCCTAAGAACACCACGCGCAGTGCAAAGCGTCGGCTGGAGTGGGGTAAAGCACACCGCCATTGGACTCTGGAGCAGTGGAAACGCGTTCTCTGGAGTAATGAATCACGCTTCACCATCTGGCAGTCCGACGGACTAATCTAGGTTTGGTGGATGCCAGAAGAACGCTACCTGCCCGAATGCATTGTGCCAACTGTAAAGTTTGGTGTAGGAGGAATAATGGTCTGGGGCTGTTTTTCAGGGTTCGGGCTAGGCCCCTTAGTTCCAGTGAAGGGAAATCTTAACGCTACGGCATACAATGACATTCTAGACGATTCTGTGCTTCCAATTTTGTGGCAACAGTTTGGTAAGACCCTTTCCTGTTTCAGCATGGCAATGCCCCTGTGCACAAAGCGAGGTCCATACAGAAATGGTTTGTCAAGATCGGTGTGGAAGAACTTGACTGGCCTGCACAGAGCCCTGACCTCAACCCCAATCGAACACCTTTGGGATGAATTGGAACACTGACTGCGAGCCTAATCGCCCAACATCTGTGCACAACCTCACTAATGCTCGTGGCTGAATGGAAGCAAATCCCTGCAGCAATGTTCCAACATCTAGTGGAAAGCCTTCCCAGAAGAGTGGAGGCTGTTATTTACATTTTTTGTCATTTAGCAGACGCTCTTATCCAGAGCGACTTACAGTTAGTGAGTGCATACAATGTTTTATTTTTTTATTTTAACAAAAAAAAATGTTTATACTGGCCCCCCTGTGGGAAACGAACCCACAACCCTGGCGTTGCAAACCAACTGAGCTACATCCCTGCCGGCCATTCCCTCCCCTACCCTGGACGACGCTGGGCCAATTGTGCGCCGCCCCATGGGTCTCCCGGTCGCGGCCGGCTACGACAGAGCCTGGATTCGAACCAGGATCTCTAGTGGCACAGCTAGCACTGCGATGCAGTGCCTTAGACCACTGCGCAGCAAAGGGGGACCAACTACATATTAATGTCCATGATTTTGGAATGAGATGTTCGACAAGCAGGTGTCCACATACTTTTGGTCATGTTGAGTATGCGAGCACACTCAACCAAAGCATGTGGAAGCCTTAACCAACTCAACAGTGTGTGTGTGTTAAAAGAGGAAAAGGTCCCTGAACAACTCTCCCTGGGGTTACTATGAGTTACAGTATCCGTGGGAAACAGCATTTACGAAAAGGCTGAGGGTTTCTACCAACATCAAGCCCTGGTCCTGGAGAGCTACAGACTTAAATGATGCAGTCCAGGATATTAAGCACAACAAATTTGCAACATATTGTACTAATTGGATTCGTAACATATCATACTAATTATTTGTATATTATAAATTATTATTATTACACATCATACGAAATGGATGACGTAGTACAAAATTGGATGACGTACTACATTTTTTTTTTAAAGGACCAATTTTGGCTCGTGAGCACCACTTTCAAAATTAACTTCCAGTCCTAGAGAGGAGATATGTCCTTTTGTTACTGAATCTGATTTCACCCTTACTATTGTGCATAACCCTACAGTTTTGGTCTATATTTCGGTGAGGGTAGATGGTGTGCTATGGTTCAGCTATTGTACAGTTAACATTAGTATGTTTATCTTCTCTCAGACAGAGAAGCGGGCATCTCTCTCACCATCTAATAGGGGAGGAAGGCTGGGGGAGGAGGAAGGAGTATCAACCACTGTGTGTGTGGGAATGATCTCCTGTTGAGAACAGCATTAGGTCCATTCAGCTTCTCCACCTCCTCCTAATGACAACTATATCCCATTAATACCTGGGGAGGGGAATGTAAAGGCAGGCAGACAGGGTGTGTGTATGTATGTGGGGGGGGGGGGTTAATGTATATGGAAAAATAAAAACTACTACCAGTTGTGTCGAAGGGAAACATTTCCACATCAGACTTAAAAAGCGAACATTCTGATCTAAGGTTTTATGTCTCCTTACACATACACGGTTTAGAGTGAAGATACCCAAAGAGGGCCTCAATCTCAAAACACAGAAAGCAAACTAAAGAAACAACGTTAGCTACAACTGTAACATAGTTACACATGGATGGTGATGACAGAAATACTGTAGCCTCTCTTTCCCGCTCTCTGTCACACACATTCCAGCAGCAGTGTTTTATCAGGGCTATGTTGAGGCCTGTCTACTGCGGTAGTGCCAGTGTGTTAGCACACTATTAATCGCTATGAGACACACCACACTGCTCGGAGTCGGAGCACACACACAGACACACAACTCATCATTCACAGTCCCATATAACACACACCAGACATCCCACACACACACACTAGATACACACACCGCCAGCCACCACACACAGACAGCTATGTTAGTACATGCAAAAATAATAAGAACAATAACAGAGTAGGTGTGTGTGTGTGTGTGATGCATGTTCCTGCGTGCATGTGACTGACTCACCGTCCTGGTGCCGGGTGAGAGGACTCCAGGAGAGAGGTAGGGGTTGCCAAGGTTCCCCAAGTGACCCAGGTTGGCTAGGTTACCCAGGTCAGGGATCATCAGTAAGGGATAGCCAGCGTACAGAGATGCCTTGAACATCCCACTGTCGTGTTGCTGTCTCCTCAGAGCTGGGGGATAGACAGGGGATGGGTTGTTGTCAATCTATTATGATCTGTTTTGTTGCTTTGGTAGCATGTAAGACAGTGACTTCTCTTGTCTACAGGGCTCATTGAATTGAGAGAGAAAGGGGGGGGGGGGGGGGGGGGGGGGGGGGCAGGTTGGAGAGAGGAGGGTTCTGGAGGCAGAACGGTGCGGTTTCCACTAGATGGGCCAGCTGCAAAGTCAAAATTGGCTATATCGTAAAAATTCATATAAACACAAATTGGTCTTAATTGAAGGTTAGGCATTAGGGTTAGAAGTGTGTTTAAGGTTAGGTTTAAAAGCAGATGTTATGACTGTGGCTGTGCCAGCTAGTGACCACTCTACAGGGCTGCCTCCAGGGCAAGATTGTTTGTAGTTGTTGATTTATTGCTATATGTTCTGTGTTTCTTGTAAGGCATGTAAGATTCTCATTTAAACACAGCTTTTTGAAATGAACTGAGAAATAAAGGAATGGACTGGGAGGGAGAGATAGGAAAGATAAGGAAGGAGAGGAGAAAAAGGGGGAACTCATATGAAGGATCAAAGTAGAGCTACAGGTATACAGTGTTACAGTTTTACTATGAGTTTGTGGTGTTTTACCTTCTGCAACGAACTCTCTCTGTCTGACATAACTCTCCCAATCTGGTATGTGATGCTGGGGACGTCTATGACTGCCTGCCTGCTGACAAACACACACAAACATTGTTGTTTGCCAAAAAACACAGTAGATTGGTAGCTAGAAGACAAAGGTTAGTACTGTACTGGTTAATATAGTGATTCAATCTTCTGTCCCTAGCTGGCTAGCTAGTTATCTAGCTAGACAAACTAACGTTAGCTACCTCGGAGTCAGACGAACTGCTGTTGTTCTCCGTTTCGTTGACCAGCGAAGACTTGACATCGTCCAGGTCCCGCTCAGAGGACACATTCTCGGCAGTCTTTTCCTCCTGCTCCCCCTCGTCTTTAAACGAGATCAACTCGTCGTTGGCTCCCAAATCATCTCCTCCTCCTCCGTCCAGCTGCGGCATCTTGGATTTCTAAAAACACACTCACTGGTGCCTTGCCGTACTAGGTTTGTTAAATATACCCACCGAGTTTCAAAGCACCCTCTCAAAACACTTAGCTAACGTTAGCTACCTAGCTAGTTAGTATACTGTATTATTTGGATTTCCAGTGGTAGTAACGATATTAGCCATAAATAAGACGAGTTCTTGCAAAAATAGGCATCAACGACTGTTCATTTTGTTATCTAGCTAACGTTAGTTAGCCATGCTATGCTAACTAGTTAGCTAGCTAGTCGATTCGTGGAGTTGTTCCACTCGTTTTTGTCGCGTCTTTTAGACTAGAAAAACTAGCTACAAACCACATCGACGATTCCAAAAATGTAAATCCACGAGTAACTATATACTGGTGTAAAAACAACTAGCAATCTCTTACAACTGAAAGGGAAAACGAAAACAATGAAAAGTTGTGCGTCGCAGAAGTTTAAAAGACGCACGCACATAAGTTTTTCCTCCTGTCCACCCCCTCCCGAGTAAAATCAGTCCGAAGCGAAGTCAGCTCACCAGCATACTTTGTTAATACTTTTTTCGTCCATTATCCTTCAAAAATAGAAATTGCAATCCTTGCGAGTTCGACAAAAATAGAAAATGCAATCCTTGCGAGTCGGAGAATAAGTTAGTCGCTTGTTGTGTAGTGTGTATCTGGTGGCGTGGGAAAGAATAAAGGTGGAATGGAAGGAAGAGTTAGGCCGCCGGGGGGGGATATGTTTGGGAAGAGTAATTCCAGTCCAGCCATCAATCATGTATATGTCAATGGCGCCAGGAGTTTTTCCAATCTGATTTCTTGAGCTGAAACAAAATCTTGGTCAGGGGGAAAGTTCTGGTATATCTTTGCCATGTCAGGATCCCAGCCCGTCACCCGTGATACAAATCAGTTAGCCTCCACACTGAATATCGCTCAGTTTTACTGTTTCATTATACTGAATTAGATTGGATTCCAGCTGGTTTCATGTGCATATTCATGGGAGAGAACTGAAGGATGTAATGGTAGGCTAATGATTATGATGATGATAATGCACTCTCTCCTTCTCTCTTTACTCTGTGTGGGACTGTAACCCGAGCCCTCCCTTGGTTTGTTATCAGCTCTGACATTCCCCCCTCTCTCTCTTTTCAGAATCCAACCAGCCTATATGTGTTTCTGTGACTGTGTGGCTGCAGGTCCTTGCTACAAAATTGACACTCAACCCTCTAGCAAACCACAGGCATTTTCAAGCAAACAAAATAATATTGCACAATAGTGTGTTTGTGCATGTGTGTGTAGTGCAAACGTGTGTGTGTGATGTTTTTTTGGGGAATGATGAGTGTCATGCCCCCCTCCCTCATAATACCACCACCCACCAACGAGCTCAGGAGACAAGGGATTAGACTGCAGCTGAAAGAGACTGTGTGTGTGAGTGTATTTGTGTCTATGTCTGTCTGTGTGTATTGGTGAAAAAGAAATCCCTCTTTTGTTCATGAGAAAGCTAGTGTATGTTCAGTGTGTGTGTGCATGTGTAAAAGAGGAGTCTGAGAGTGGAAGGATGTGCCATGCTAACAGCTAGAGGGTGCTCATCTATACAGAGAGAGAGAGAGATGGCAGCGATAGAAAGAGAGGGAACTGCTCACCAACAGCAAGGAGATAATGAGATAGAAAGAGAGTATGTGATAGGATAGAGAGAGTGACAGAGCATTCTGATTATCTTTATTGGAGTTGTTGGATATCTACTTATCAACACGGATTATGTTTGTGAACCCTCTGTAGTCTAACCAGCAATCACCTTCAGTCCCTTTCCAGTGGACTCTCCCACCACCTGAATAGTTAGCAGGAAGCATTTAGTCTGCCAACCTGCTTGTACTGAAGAACTTGTGATTCTGCAACACCAATCTAAATAATGTGACTTTTCCAGTTCTGTCCTGACCGGTTTCTCTCTCGCTCGCACACACACACACACACACACACACACACACACACACACACTGCCCTGACAAGTTTCAGAGGGGTGTGTGTGTGTTAGTTCCTGCATACTGAATCAGCTCGGACAGCCTGTGTGTGTTAATGGTCCTCTTTCCTTGATTTCTCTAGGTAGAATATTTGAATCTTACTTTGACACATAGAGAGGAGACCATTATTTTGCAGATTTGGTCCTGATCCATCCTAGTTTTGATAAAGTTGAAGGAATCCCCTTGGAACAAGACTCACTTATCATTGGAAGTTCTGCCTTTACCCACTAGAGTGCTCTTTCATCATTCATTATATCTTAGCTACTCCAACAGAAGAGAGCATTTCTTATTTCCTGGATAAAGTTTTGGTGCTGCGTGTTCTTTGACGCAGTGGATGCCACGGCACAGGTAGACACACAGGAGAATGTCGGTTAATCTAAGTATAAATGGAGCAACGCTCACGGCCGCGTATAAAGAAGTGGTGGATGTGAAGTCTGATACCAACTGGTGAGCAAGAAGAACTGAAAGAAGCATTATATTAGTTGATTTAGTTGAAGACAGGTGCATTTGTATGTGTGTGTTTGTGATCAGCAACGATGAGAGAGAGAGAGAGAATCTTGCAGTTGTTTTTTTGTCTGTCTACAGGGCACTGTTCACCTATGAGGGGAACACCAATGACATCCGCCTGGCAGAGAAGGGAGGTGAGTGTGGGTCTGCAATATGAGCTGTTTGTGCATGTGTGTAACAGGGGTGGTTCTGGGAACTTGTTGTATAATAAGAAGATACAGTGCCTTGCAAAAGTATTCCTCCCCCTTGGTGTTTTTCCTATTTTGTTGCATTACAACCTGTAATTTAAATGGATTTTTATTTGGATTTCATGGAATGGGCATACACAAAATAGTCCAAATTGGTGAAGTGAAATGAAAAAAATTACTTATTTCAGAAAATTCTCAAAAATAAATAACAGAAAAGTGGTGCGTGCATATGTATTCACCCCCTTTGCTATGAAGCCCCTAAATAAGATCTGGTGCAACCAATTACCTTCAGAAGTCACATAATTAGTTAAATAAAGTCCACCTGTATGCAATCTAAGTGTCACATGATCTGTCACATGATCTCAGTAAATATACACCTGTTCTGAAAGGCCCCAGAGGTTGCAACACCACTAAGCAAGGGGCACCACCAAGCAAGCGGCACCATGAAGACCAAGGAGCTTTCCAAACAGGTCAGGGACAAAGTTGTGGAGAAGTACAGATCAGGGTTGGGTTATAAAAAAATATCAGAAACTTTGAACATCCCAAGGAGCGCCATTAAATCCATTATTAAAACATTTAAAGAATATGGCACCACAACAAACCTGCCAAGAGAGGGCCGCCCACCAAAACTCACGGACCAGGCAAGGAGGGCATTAATCAGAGAGGCAACAAAGAGACCAAAGATAACCATGAAGGAGCTGCAAAGCTCCACAGCGGAGATTGGAGTATCTGTCCATAGGACCACTTTAAGCCATACACTCCAGAGTTTTCTGTTTTTGTCTTATTTCTTGTTTGTTTCACACAAAAAAAGATTTTGCATCTTCAAAGTGGTAGGCATGTTGTGTAAATCAAATGACACAACCCCCCCCAAAATCCATTTTAATTCCAGGTTGTAAGAACCTGGATAAAATAGGAAAAATGCCAAGGGGGGTGAATACTTTCGCAAGCCACTGTACATCATATTGCGTAGGCTTTAGTTTAGCTGGCTAACATGGTCATGTGTGTGTGTGTGTGTGTGTAGACGGTGGTCTGGAGGAGATGGTGGAGGAGTTGAGCAGTGGGAAGGTGATGTATGCCTTCTGTCGCGTCAAGGACCCCAACTCTGGCCTGTGTAAATACGTCCTCATCAACTGGGTAAGTAGCACCCATCCACACACATACATCCACACACACACACCACCCTCAAAGCATAACGATCACTAGAAACCTTTGTCAAACCTGCCATTCACGTGTGTGTGTGTGTTTTTTTAGACAGGTGAAGGGGTAAAGGACTCTCGGAAAGGACAGTGTGCCAACCATGTCATTTCCATGGGTAACTTCCTAAGGGTGAGTTTTACCTGCTTTAAAGAGAGAGAGAGATGCTCTAAAATGTTAATTCTCTACAATCGAGCTGTGTAGACTCTCTCTCTGACCAATCTCATTGCTGCAGGGTGCCCATGTGACCATCAATGCACGGGGAGAGGACGACGTGGAGCCAGAGAGTATCATGGGTAAAGTGGCCAATGCGTCTGGTGCCAACTTTAACTTTCGCAAAGAGACACAGAAATACAGCGACGTACCCAGTGGACCTGTGGTGAGAACACACACACACGCTCACGCACGCATGCAAGCATACACACACATAGTAATGTGTTGTTGTGTTTCAGGGGTCGGTGTACCAGAAGACTAATGCTGTGGATGAGATTCTGCAAACCAAAGAGACACAGAAATATGACATACCCAGAGGACCTGTGGTGAGTACATACATACATACATACATACATACATACATACATACATACATACATACATACAGATGTAATGTGTTGTTGTGTTTCAGGGGTCGGTGTACCAGAAGACTAATGCTGTGGATGAGATTCTGCAAACCAAAGAGACACAGAAATATGACATACCCAGAGGACCTGTGGTGAGTACATACATACATACATACATACATACATACATGCATACATACAGATGTAATGTGTTGTTGTGTTTCAGGGGTCGGTGTACCAGAAGACTAATGCTGTGGATGAGATTCTGCAAACCAACAAGGACAACTTCTGGGCCCAATCTCAGGTAGACCTTCTCAGATAGCCTAGCCTACATTTTATTTGTCATATGGAACTAGTAAGCTACATTGAAGTGCTTGCTCTCAAGACATAACAAAATTCCAGACAAAAGTAATACTATACTTATTGTTATCTCCCTATCCCTAATGTGGTTTGAAATCCTATTTTGAGTTACTCTGCTGCTGGTTCTTTGGCAGTTTGGTTCAAACAGAATGTTAAATTTCTCTCTCAGAGGGATGACGAGGTGCGTCAGAAGGAGGAGAGCAAGAGAATGGAGGAGGAGAGGCAGAGGGTGAAAAGAGAGCAAAAAGAGAGGGATGAAAAGGAGGCCGCAGAGAGACAAATTAGGGCGAAGGAGAGAGCCTCTCAGATCGACCAGGCAAAGTCAGTCATCACAGATGCACACAACACGCGCGCACACAAACACATGCTCAATATCATATTGTCTGTTTTCGTGTCCGTTTGTGTATCTGTTTGTTTGTGTGACAGGAGTTACCAGAAGCAGCAGGAGTCAGAGTCTAGAGACCAGGAACGATGTCAGCCGGTGAGCCTTCTATGTGTGATTTTACAGTGCCTTCGGAAAGTATTCAGACATTTACTTTTTCCACACTTTGTTACGTTACAGCCTTATTCTAAAATGGATTAAAGAAATAAAAATCCTCAGCAATCTACACACAATACCGCATAATGACAAAGCGAAAACAGGTTTGTAGAAACACAAGTATTCAGACCCTTTGCTATGAGACTCGAAATTGAGATCAGGTGCATTCTGTTTCCATTGATCATCCTTGATGTTTCTACAACTTGATTGGAGTCCACCTGTGGTAAATTCAATTGATTGGACATGATTTGGAAATGCACACACCTGTCTATATAAGGTCCCACAGTTGACAGTGCATGTCAGAGGAAAAACCAAGCCATGAGGTTGAAGGAATTGTCCGTAGAGCTCTGAGACAGGATTGTGTTGAGGAACAGATCTGGGGAAGGGTATCAAAAAATGTCTGCAGCATTGAAGGTCCCCAAGAACACAGTGGCCTCCATCATTCTTAAATGGAAGACGTTTGGAACCACCAAGACTCTTCCTAAAGTTGGCTGCCCGTCCAAACTGACCAATTTGGGGAGAAGGGCCTTGGTCAGGGAGGTGACCAAGAACCCAATGGTCACTCTGACAGAGCTCTAGAGTTCCTCTGTGGAGATGGGAGCACATCCAGAAGGACAACAATCTCTGCAGCACTCCACCAATCAGGCCTTTATGGTAGTGTGGCCAGACAGAAGCCACTCATCAGTAAAAGGCACATGACAGCACGCTTGGAGTTTGCCAAAAGGCACCTAAAGGACTCTCAGACCATGAGAAACAAGACTCTCTGGTCTGATGAAACCAAGGTTGAACTCTTTGGCCTGAATGCCAAGTGTCACATCTGGAGGAAACCTGGCACCATCCCTATGGTGAAGCATGGTTGTGGCAGCATCATGCTGTGGGGACTGGGAGACTAGTCAGGATCGAGGCAAAGATGAACAGAGCAAAGTACAGAGAGATCCTTGATGAAAACCTGCTCCAGAGCGCTCAGGACCTCAGACTGTCCAACGGGACAACGACCCTAAGCACACAGCCAAGACAATGCAGCAGTGTCCTCGATACAAGTCTCAGAATGTCCTTGAGTGGCCTAGCCAGAGCCCGGACTTCAACCCGATCTAACATATCTGGAGAGACCTGGAAATAGCTGTGCAGCGACGCTCCCCATCCAACCTGACAGAGCTTGAGAGGATCTGCAGAGAAGAATGGGATAAACTCCCCAAATACAGGTGTGCCAAGCTTGTAGCGTCATACCCAAGAAGACTCGAGGCTGTAATCGCTGCCATAGGTGTTTCAACAAAGTACTGACTAAAGGGTCTGAATACTTATGTAAATGTGCTATTTCCATTTCCTATTTGCTTTGTCATCATGGGGTATTGTGGTTAGATTTGAGGGGGGGAAAAAACATTTTGATCAATTTTAGAATAAGGCTGTAACCTAACAAAATGTGGAAAAAGTAAAGGGGTCTGAATACTTTCTGACGCACTGTAAATGTGTTGCACGAAATGCTTTTGTGCGTTGCAGTATTCCAAACGTGTGTTTTTGTGTGTCTGCTTTTTAGGAGAAGCAGGAGAGTGAGCGTCAGAACTCTCAGAGGACAAGACCTGCATCTGTACAAAAAGCAAACGTGAGAGTCTTCACTCACTGTTAGTGTGTGTGTTCAATATGTAATAATTTACTGAACTGTGTGTCTGTGTCTGTCAGGAGGCAGCAAGTCTGATCTCCCAGAGGTCCTTCAACCCCAGAGAGCTGTTTAAGAAGAGAGAGGAGAGCGCTTCACTGAACAACACACCCAGCTCCAGACCTGGTAAAATCATCTACAATGTTGTAGTAGTGTTGTATAGATAAGCAACAAGGTGGGTATCGACATAGAAAACTGGTCAACACTAAACACACTTAATTTCTTAACGTTATCAATAAATAATTGACATATCAATAACACATATTCTACACATCTTCCCCTAGCCCCAATAACACATAACAGATATTATTCCCCTCCCTTAGGGAAGCTGCAGAGCCCCTTCCTGTCTCAGAAGTCCACTGAGAGAGCGATGCCCATCGAACCACATTCCCCACAATACCCTGCTTTCCTTCTCCCAGAAGCCCCGGCTCCACTGCTCTCACCTGTCCAACCCGCAGGTAATACATGCACCCACACATACACACCCATCTGTATCATAGATAACCCTTTAACCCCTGCTCCACTGCTCCCAGAATACCCTGCTCCACTGCTCCCAGAAACGCCTGAACCAGCTGCCCCGCTCTCACCTGTCCAACCCACAAGTCAGACATGCATGCACAGACGAATGCACACACATCTGTATCATAGCTAAGCCTTTAACCCCTTACTTCTCTGCTCCCAGAAACCCCTGTTCCTCTACTCTCAAACGACTGCTCCTCTGAGCCCAGAAGCCCCTGCTACTGTGCTCCTACAGCCCGAGGCACCAGTTGCCCCACGCTCACATGTCCAACCCACAAGCCAAACACGCATGCATGCAGCTAACCATTTCCACCACAGGCTGATTCATGTCATAATAAGGCTGTCTAAATAATATTTGTGTGTATGTGTGTCAGAGTCTTCCTTCACTGAAGAGGAGTACTGGTCGGATGATTTTGATGAGGATACAGAGGACACAGCACTAGAGGATGGTAGGCCTCCGCCTCACACACGCAAACTCATTTCCATTCTCACATTGTTACTGCTTAAAAACTACAGCTGGCGAGGGTCTTTAAATATTTAATCTCTCAGAGCCAACAGTTGCCACCCTGGTTCAGGGTAGAGAGAAGCACATTGGCCCAGACGAGGTGTACGAGCTCCTGCCATTGGCAGAGACAAATGAGGAGGAGAACATTTATGATGATATCTACCAGGACACACCCACAGTAAGTCTACAGGAAGTATGATGACGTTGCCCTTAGCCATGTTATCAAAAAATTATTCTGAATACGTTGGAAAACTCTGATGTTATGACTCCACTGTTTTATTCCTCTTCAAATCTTCTTTAACTCCCGATCACTTGAACAATCTCTCTCAGGTGGTGGAGCAGAGAGAGGAGGCCAGTGGACAGGATGTGCGTGCCAGGTCTCTGTATGACTACCAAGCCAGTGAGTGTTGCCCAGCTCTGGGTTCAAATCAAGTACTTCTCTTTTTCTCATTTCATCTGATCCGTCTTTGCTTCTCTCATCTTTTCTCTGATGTCTCACGTCATATTCCTTCCCTTCTTTCATCTCTTCTGGCACCATTGAATTGAATGTAATATTCTTTCATACTTCTCTCCTCTCACCAGCTGATGACTCTGAGATCACCTTTGATCCCGATGACATCATCACAGGGATAGACATGGTGGATGAGGGTTGGTGGAGAGGCTACGGACCGGATGGACACTACGGAATGTTCCCGGCCAATTATGTTGAGCTCCTGTAGTTCCAAAGCCCTCCCACATGCCTGTACAACCAATTAGAGCATCAGTTGGATCATTCTGACTGCGACCCCTGCGAACAGTACAGGGGTAGGAAGGGGGATGTTTTCCTTGCAGCACAGATATTAGGGTTATAAGTGGAAAGTGAAGAGAATGGGGGTGCAGGGCTTATCAGGGATGTCAGGGAAAGTGACTATCACTTGATTACTGTATATTAATCTACAACAGGGCTAATGTCAGTCTTTATGACTGTCTGGTTTTAGTCAGGTCTCAGACTAGCAGTCTCTAACTCAGGGTATTCTATAATATAATAATATAAATAATATGCCATTTAGCAGACGCTTTTATCCAAAGCGACTTACAGTCATGCGTGCATACATTTTTTTTTTTGTGTATGGGTGGTCCCGGGGATCGAACCCACTACCTTGGCGTTACAAGCGCCGTGCTCTACCAGCTGAGCTACAGAGGACCACAATTTTATGGGATTAGGGGGATGTTTTGTGTTATGTCTTGAAGTTGTCAGACTTGCTTTTGATCCACTTTTCAATAAATAATGATAGTTGTGTGTTCAACTGTTTACATTTGCTTCATCTTTTTTACCATTTTAAAGCATTGTGAGGTCTAGATTATGTATACTCATCCCTCTACTATGAGATGGTGTATTTATTTGGGCTCATCTGATTATTAGCAATTGTCATGTAGGCCTACTGAATGCACTGCAATGTTTTCTTAGTTGTTTTGGGGAAAGAAAGGTTGAATCAGTTTGCATGATAAAGTATCTCTATAGCCTACCTTTTCAGGTAGTCAACCACCAGAGTCTTGAGTGCGTCTTTTTTTTTTTTTTTTTTTATACAAGAGCACAGACGTCAGAATGCTGCGCCTGTCACCTAAAAATGAAACGTCATCAGTGTGGTGCCAGTTGTATTTCGACCGCTTATTATACCTCAGATTTCGACCAGAAGGAGAAATGGCTGCAAGGTTATTGATTCGCTCCGCCGTTAGGGCCGCTACAACTTGCCGGGCCGCCCCATGCCCTGCTCTCACCCGCGGCATGGCGGCTGGAGGTGAGTCGGTAATGTGGAGGTTTTGGGCAGAAGCCATGGAAGCATCGTATTTGACATATTGATGTCTTGCCAAGGACAGGCGATGCATTGCCAGGCAATGGCGCAAGAATTCCTAGCTTGCTAGCCAAGTTATCATGTAATATTCGTTGTATCAAAATTATTTTTTCAATCTGTCCACGTTTTGTTAATATGAAGTAGCTAGCTGAGCAGATGTTAGTATTTGCATGTCCTATATTGAGTTATTTTGCCTTTTATAGTGACCTTAGCCAAAGTCAAAGATGGTACCTTAGTTTAGGGTTCTAGTTAGCGCGTTAGCGAGCTATCCGTGTCGACTTTATCAGTGATTGAATGTGCTTAGCGCGGAAGTAGCCTAGTGCTAATTTTGCTAGCTAGTAAGAATTCTAATGCCAACATGGCTAATCACTTAGTTGGTTGGTTAACTAACTAGTTAACCTTGCTAGCTAACACTGATTACCTGTTTTCAGGCATCCCCACCGACGAGGAGCAGGCCACGGGTCTGGAGAAGATCGTTATGAAGGCTGCGCAACAGGGCGCGGTGAGTCGAGATTACATTTGTATGAAATTAATATTATTAGCGTTAGGTGTGTTGCCCTGGCTAATATTGATGTAACATCGCTGGTAGTTTGCCATGTCAAGTGACAGCCAGGACATTCTCAAGTAACAGTTTGGCAGTAATCTCACTCTCTTTTCTCTCAGCATTGGCCCAGACATGCATGTGACTTTATCTAGCCAAATGTAGGATCCTTACTAGGTTTCTGTGAGCGTTGCCCATGTCACCAAGTCTAATACTGAACCTGTCATGTGTGATTTCCTTCCAGGACCCCTACAGCATGTTGAAGCCCAAAGAGTATGCTGGCTCAAAGGCCGACCCTCATCTGGTGCCCTCCATCACCACCAAGAGGATTGTGGGCTGTGTGTGTACGTGACTGGCTTTATATTTGTCTTTCTACAGCTGTCTGGTAGCTCTGTGGCCAGAAGCCATACCACTCTGATTTGTCATGGCTGTCTGAGAGTTGGCCTCTGCTCATATCTAATGTCTCCTTCAACCGATCTCTCCCTCCCTCCCCTCTTTCTCCCTCCCTCCCCTCTTTCTCCCTCCCTCCCCTCTTTCTCCCTCCCTCCCCTCTTTCTCCCTCCCTCCCCCTTCCCCCCCCTTCCCCCCCCTTCCCCCTTCCCCTCTTTCTCCCTCCCTCCCCCTTCCCCTCTTTCTCCCTCCCCCCTTGCTTCCTTTCTCCCGCTCCTCTCTCACTTTCTCCATCCTCTATCTATAGGTGAGGAGGATAACACTGCAGTGGTGTGGTTCTGGCTCCAGCAGGGCGATGCTCAGCGCTGTCCCTCATGTGGCTCCCACTACAAACTGGTGCCCCATGAGCTGCCCCACTAAAATACACACCCTCTATCTATTATATACATACACACATCACCTAGTACCTTTACATGACATTAGATTCACTGAAAGATTCCAGCTTCTTTAGGATGAAGGGGGGTTAGATGGTGATGTCAAATCTCATTGTTCTTTCAAGAAGTGTATTTTCACTAGGAGTTGGGTGTTGTAAATTAGAATGTTGGGCCCCTGTGTACCCTTTCGTTTCCTTTAATTATTTGTTCGCTTTTCAATGTATCTTTATCTCATCCTAGCATCTACTTGAAAATCTATCTAACCTGCTAACCTCAATGTCAGTCTGTGATTACAGGACCAGTTATTGTTTAAAACTTACCGAATGCCTAACGGTGTGGGACACAATGTTATTTTTCAAGCAATTCCATTCAAACAGCAGTTTACGTTGATATATGTACTGTACACTTGGTCCAGTTATCCCTCTTATCAAATCAATAAAGTCTTTACTCCTAAACTCCTCTTGCTGTTTCGGTGGTGATGTGGAATAGTGTGATGGTTTAGGTCAGGGTTGGGCAAAATACAGCCTGTGTAAAGAAAATTATAATACTTAATGCCTAAAACCAGATAGAACGTATGTAGAACTTATAATAGACCTATATAACTAGAACTGAAAGCCAGTTTTCTAGCCCGTAAATTGATTTTGACCAGCAAATCTGGCCCCATAAAATCTGCGGCACTCTGTTGAATTTCGAAATCCCAATGTGGCCCTCGAGCCAAAATTATTATTATTTAGGTAATCTGGATCTGAGAAGCCGGCGCATATAATGGTGTTGTCATTCAAGCACTATGATTGTAACACTTATTTTGACCGTTTTCATTGTGGTGCCATGTGTAATTTATAGTACCCTACTTTTTGTAAGAGTGATAATGGCGCCGGAAGGGATCGCTGCTGTTTTACGGGCTCCTAACCAATTGTGCTATTTTGTGTTTTTTCACATTGTAACTTATTTTGTACATAATGATGTTGCTACTGTCTCTTATGACCGAAAAGAGCTTCTGGATATCAGAACAGCGATCAATCACCTTGAACTGGATGAAGATTTTTTATTTAATGATTGACACGAAGGATATACTGTTTCTCCCAGGCAAGGCCCAAATCCCTGTCATACGCATGAAGAAAAGATGGAGAGACAGGGGGCGCAGTTCCGTGTACCTTGTGAGAATTCGTCGGCGAGTGGGTAACCCGCTTTTACGATCCATTCTATTGGCCAAGGTGCAATCACTGGAGAATAAACTGGATGAGCTCCGTTCGAGACTATCCTCCAAACAGGACATTAACTAATATCTTATGTTTCACAGAGTCGTGGCTGAACGATGACATGGATAATATACAGTTGGCTGGGTTTTCCGTGCATCGGCAGGAAAGAAAAGCTACGTCCGGTAAGAGGAGGAGGAGGGGTGGTGGTGGTGTGGCTATTTTGCAATAACAGCTGGTGCGCAATGTCTAATATTAACGAAGTCTCGAGGTATTGCTCGCCTGAGGTAGAGCACCTCATGATAAGCTGTAGACCACACTATCTACCAACAGTTTATCTATATTTTTCGTAGCCGTCTATTTACCACCACAAACCGATGCTGGTACTAAGACCGCACTCAATGAGCTGTGTAAGGCGATAAGCAAACAAGAAAATGCTCATCCAGAAGTGGCACTCCTAGTGGCCGGGGACTTTAATGCAGGCAAACTTAAATCTGTTTTACCTGATTTCTACCAGCATGTCACATGTGCAACCAGAGGGAAAAAAACTCTAGACAACCTTTACCCCACACGCATACAGAGCTCTCCCTCACCCTCCATATGGCAAATCTGACCATCATTCTATCCTCCTGATTCCTGCTTACAGGCAAAAACTAAAGCAGGAAGTGCCAGTGACTCGCTCAATACGGAAATGGTCAGATGCTACGCTACAGGACTGTTTTGCTTTTTCCTGATTCCTGCTTATCAGCAAAAACTAAAGCAGGAAGCACCAGTGACTCGGTTCATAAAAAAGTGGTCAGATGACGCAGATGCTAAGCTACAGGACTATTTTGCTAGCACAGACTGGAACATGTTCCGGGATTCTTCAGATAGCATTGAGGAGTACACCACATCAGTCACTGGCTTCATCAATAAGTGCATAGATGACGTCGTCCCCACAGTGACCGTACGTACGTACCCCAACCAGGATGTGGCAGGGCTTGAAAACTATTACAGACTACAAAGGGAAGCACAGCCGCGAACTGCCCAGTGACACAAGCCTACCAGACGAGCTAAACCACTTCTATGCTCGCGTCGAGGCAAGCAACACTGAAGCATGCATGAGAGCACCAGCTGTTCCGGATGACTATGTGATCACGCTCTCCGTAGCCGATGTGAGTAAGACTTTTAAGCAGGTCAACATGCACAAGGCCGCAGGGCCAGATGGATTACCAGGACGTGTACTCCGAGCATGTGCTGACCAACTGGCAAGTGTCTTCACTGACATTTTCAACATGTCCCTGACTGAGTCTGTAATACCAACATGTTTCAAGCAGACCACCATAGTCCCTGTGCCCAAGGACACGAAGATAACCTGCCTAAATGACTACCGACCCGTAGCACTCACGTCTGTAGCCATGAAGTGCTTTGAAAGGCTGGTCATGGCTCACATCAACAGCATTATCCCAGAAACCTTAGACCCACTCCAATTTGCATACCGCCTCAACAGATCCACAGATGATGCAATCTCTATTGCACTCCACACTGTCCTTTCCCACCTGGACAAGAGGAACACCTACGTGAGAATGCATTTCATTGACTACAGCTCAGCGTTCAACACCATAGTGCCCTCAAAGCTCATCACTAAGCTAAGGATTCTGGGACTAAACACCTCCTTCTACAACTGGATCCTGGACTTCCTGACGGGCCGCCCCCAGGTGGTAAGGTTAGGTAACAACACATCTGCCACGCTGATCCTCAACACGGAGGCCCCTCAGGGGTGCATGCTCAGTCCCCTCCTATACTCCCTGTTCACCCATGACTGCATGGCCAGGCACGACTCCAACACCATCATTAAGTTTGCCGACGACACAACAGTGGTAGGCCTGATCACCGACAACGATGAGACAGCCAATAGGGAGGAGGTCAGAGACCTGGCCGTGTGATGCCAGGATAACAACCTCTCCCTCAACGTGATCAAGACAAAGGAGATGATTGTGGACTACAGGAAAAGGAGGGCTGAACACTCCGCCATTCACATCAACTGGGCTGTAGTGGAGCGGGTCGAGAGTTTCAAGTTCCTTGGTGTCCCCATCACCAACAAACTATCATGGTCCAAACACACCAAGACAGTCGTAAAGAGGGCACGACAACGCCTTTCCCCCTCAAGAGACTGAAAAGATTTGGCAGGGGTCCCCAGATCCTCAAAGTTCTACAGCTGCACCATCGAGAGCATCCTGACCGGTTGCATCACCGACTGATATGGCAACTGCTCGGCATCCGACCGTAAGGCGCTACAGAGGGTAGTGCGTACGGCCCAGTACATCACTGGGGCCAAGCTTCCTGCCATCCAGGACCTATATACTAGGCGTGTCAGGGGAAGGCCCAAAAAATTGTCAGACTCCAGTCAGCCAAGTCAGACTGTTCTCTCTGCTACTGCACAGCAAGCGGTGCCGGAGTGCCAAGTCTAGGTCCAAAAGGCTCCTTAACAGCTTCTACCCCCAAGCCATAATACTGCTGAACAATTAGTAAAATGGCCACCCAGACTATTTTCATTGACACCCTTCCTTTGTTTTTACACTGCTGCTACTCACTGTTTATTATCTATGCATAGTCACTTTACCCCTACCTACATGTACAAATTACCTCGACTAACCTGTACCCCCGCACATTGAGTCGGTACCGGTACCCCCTGTATATAGCCTCGTTATTGTTATTTTATTGTGTTACTTTCTTTTATTTTTCTACTCTAGTTTATTTAGTATATATTTTCTTAACCAACAATGCAGTTTTAAGAAAATAGAGTTAAGGGCTTGTAAGTAAGCATTTCACGGTAAGGTCTACACCCGTTGTATTCGGCGCATGTGACAAATACAATTTGATTTGATTTTGATTCGATAAGACTTGCTTCTGCAACTTGTGTCCAGTCACCAGCAGAGGGTGACATTTACCACCAGATTATACAAGTTCTGTGTTTCTCTGCAGATGTTCCATAGACATCCTATATTATGACATCGGATGTTATTGACTCCTTCAGGCACTGACCGATTGGTGTCATTATAAAAACACATCTCATCTGGGTAGTTGTTCTTCAGAGTGTGTGAGGGAGTCATAGAGCTGGTTAATTTGGAGAGAGGAACAGCTGTTTGTTTGAAGCTCATCTATATCTCTTGTCATGCTCTCACCACAGTTTATCATGTATCAGACAGAACATCAACGAATGTCTCAGTTCTTTAGTCTTGAATCACAGTCTCATTAGTGTTATTCCGTTCTCTTTCATAGTATGTTGATGATGACCCATGTCTTACCAGAGTACTGGTGGCACTATTGTGGCCCAAAATATGTGGATTCTTTGAAAAACACCAACAGTGTCTCAAATGACACATTCTGTATAGTGCACTACTTTTAAATGGCACCCTGTTCCCCATATAGTGCTCTAAATGGAGAGGGAATTGCCTAGGTTTACGTTGTTACTGGAGATTTGCCCAGGGCTATAATCCCCTGTGGCCTATGAAGTTGAGTTTCCATGGTTACTGAAAGGAAAGGACAGTGATGCCCAATTAATCATTGTGTGTGTGTGCGTTTTTCTGTGTATTTGTGACTCATTCCTGGTCCTTCTTTACTGCCCTCTCCTCGACACATTACTACTAATTTACTATTTCACTTAGAGGGGAGAGGTTGAGAGGAGGAAGAGTGGATAGGATGGAGGGGTGGAAGAGAGAAGGACAGTCGTGTCCTACAGATCTGAGAAATGCCAGACTTGAGCAGGGCAACCTGGGAAATGATTTAAACTGAAGGAAAGGAGGTTGGGAGGGTGCAGAGAGAAAAATAGGGGGGATATGATGAGTGAGAAGGGAGAGGGTGAATACCATAGAGAGGAGGAGAGGTATATAGAAAGGAGGGAGAAATGGGTTTAGGGAGGGGAACCCAGGAGGATTACGTAAACTGTGCTGACTTTAAGATGCAGAGAGGATGCTACTTGTTTACTGCTCTTCTTTCCTTCTCTTTCCTTTTTCTCTCTCTCGCTCGCTCTCCCTCTCCCTCTATTGCAATGCAACTCTTGTCTCTATCTCTCTTCTCTCCTTCTTTCCGAGACACAGAGGTCTGATGTGGAGGAAACTGTCCTGCCTTCAGGCTGCTGCTGGCCTGGTCTCCACTTCTGGAGGTCCAGGGTGTCTGACCCTGTCATCCACCCCATGGAGGGCTGAATGTCTATGGGCTTGTCTGCTGCGAGAGCCTCCTATCAGCTCCAGCCCAGGGCTACTTGGGTCAGATCAGTC